AAAGAGAGGTCAGAGGTTAAAGAGCACTGGTTACTCTTCCAGAGGACCCAATTTTAATTCCTGGCCTCCACATGGTGGATCCCAACTGTCTGTAACTCCAGTTCCAGGGGACCCCAAGCTCTCTGACCTCTGTGGGCACTGCACACACATGGTGCACAGACATACATGCAGGCAAACACTCAAATACATAAAGTAAAAATAAATAAATCTTTGGAAAAGGGGGACGATGAACAAACTCTTCTACAGAGCCAGACACTCCTAGGGAGTGCTAGTGAGAAGGAGTGGAGCAAAGAAGACACTGTTGGTGGGAATGTGAAGTGGCAAGGCCATTGTAGAAAGCAGTGTGCCCTTGAAAATCTGGAAAGAGAACTACCCCATTTGACCTAACTGTCCCATTTCAGGTGTACATCTAAAGCAAGGGAAATCTGTGTCTTATAGAACTATCTGCATCCCCAAGTATATTGCAGCATTGTTCAAGATATGGAATCAGGGCTGGGTATTCAGCTTGATTGCTGACCTCGGGTGCGCAAATCCAGATCTCCGGTACACATAAACACCAGGAGTGGAGGCGCACACTGGTAATCCAGTGCTTGGGAGGTGGAGGCAGAAGATCAGGAGTTCCAGGTCATTCTCAGCTCCATAGTGATTTTGAGGACAGCCAGAGGAACATGAGAGCCTAACAAAAACAAAAACAAAAACAAAAACTAAACTGGAAAATCCATGTGCTTCAGAGATGGCCCAGGGATTAAGAGTACTTACTGCACTTTAGAGAACCCAAGTTTGGTTCCCAGGAACCACATCAAGTGGCTCACAACCACCTGGATTCCAGCTCCAGGGAAATGAATGGCCTCTCCCAGCCTCTGTAGGTACCTCTATACCCAAGTCCCAAACACACATAGAAGCATAAATCAATAATAAGTTAAAACAACGCATAATCATCCTAGGTTCACTTCTGTTGCTGTGACAAATACACAAACCCAGTGCAGCTTTGGGACAGGAAGGTTTTACTTGGCTCACGATTCTGGATCACAGTCCATCATCAAGGGAAGTCGAGGCAGGAGTCTGAAGGCAGGCCTGGCTGCTATCCAGTAAAGTGTTTCCTGTAATCAGGGAAGTCACAGCCAAGGAAAGGTGGCAGGAATCACAAAAGATTGCTGGCAGGCAGGCCATGATCAACCTTTTCTTTCTTTCCCCGGTTTTATATCTATGTATGTCTCTCTATGTAGTCCTGGATGTCCTGGAGCTCGCCATATAACCAGGGAGCCTTGAACTCACAGGAATCCTCCTGCTTCTGCCTCCCTCCCAAGTACTGGGATCAAAGGTATGAGCAACCACATTCTGGCTCAGCTAGCTTTCTTATATAGCCTAGGACAGTTTTGCCTACACTGAGTTGGTCTGTATTGCGCCAATCAGTCATCAAGAGAATTCCACATAGACCCACAGGCCAATCTGATCTAGGGAATTCCTCAATTGAACTTCCCTTGTGTTGTAATAGGAGTGGCGGGCTATGTTCCTGGCACCCGGCCGCCCGCACGGCTAGCTTTATACCTGGAATAATTACACGGAAACTGCATTCTTTTAAACACTGCCTGGCCCATTAGTTCAGCCTCTTATTGGCTAGCTCTTACATATTGATCTAACCCATTTCTAATATCCTGTGTAGCCCCACGAGCTGGCTTACCAGGAAAGATCTTAACCTGTGTCTGTCTGGAGTGGGAAAATCATGGCAACTCCTTGAGTCGGCTTCTTTCTCCCAGCATTCTGTTCAGTCTACTCTGCCTACCTAATTTTCTGTCCTCTTAAAGGGCCAAGGCAGTCTCTTTATTTAACCAATGAAATCAACACAAAACAGCAGACTCCCACATCACCTTTGTGACTATTGTAGGTTGTATCAACTTTACAATTAAAGCTAACTAGGATAATAATCAACCTAAGTAGCTATTGATAGATGAATGTATAAGCCAAATATAATATACACAGAGGAATAGTCTGCCATAAAACAAGGAAACCAACAATGAGTATAAGCCTAGAGGGCATTATGTTAGGTAAAATAAGCCAGGCACAGAGGACAAATGCCACATGCTCTCACTCACATGTAGAATTTAAAGTTGAACTCATAGAATGAGAGAGAGTGAAGGGTACTGGTAGGGGCTGTATGAGTTGGCTGACTTTCAGCTGCACAGGGTGAAAAGACACTTCATGTTTACAGTATAGTGGCTATGGATCATAACAGCACATTGCATACCCAATTCCTGCTGAGAGAATAGATCTTAAATAGTCTCATCTTCAAATGACACACACTGGAGGCAACGACACGATAATAACCTAAATTTAAACGTCTTACCATATATACAAATATCAAAATGTCATATTGTATGCTACAAAGTTATATGACTTATATTTGTGAACTATACCCTAGTAAAGAAATATAAACACATAAATGACATAGTAAAGAATAAAGCAAATATACAAACTATACCTTGCTTTGAGAGGGAGGTGGACGGCAGGAGCGTAAGTAGGGGCTTCCTGAGTCACCTGCAAAGCCTTCCTAGTCCTCTTGTTCTGCGGTGCTGGCCATGGAACCTGGAGCCTCATACATGCTAGGATTTTCTGCTAAGCTGCCTCCTTCCCTACACATCAGTTTCCCTAGGAAGGCTGGGAGCTTGCTCCTACCTGGCTCCTCCCCCTCAGAAGTGGGCAGGGCTTGTGATACCTCCAGATTCGCTTTCCTAGTGGGGCTTTTGACCCTAACTCTGTGTGCCCACAAAGGAGAGCTTTCCCGCTCCCTGAAGAGAAGCTGTGGTCAGCAGAGCTTAAAGATGTCGGGAAACTGGGATGATTATTAGCTCAGAGGCCTTTGTGGGTGATGGGACACAGACCCCAACCCTGTCAAAGTTCTGAAAACCTCCAGACAATGCCTCTCCTCGGTTTCCTCCTCACTGTGCCTCCCTCCAGCTTCCACCAGACTGACAGGAGGCTCAGCCATGGAGGTGCCAGCATCCGGGGCTGGATGTTAGTAGTGGGTTCCTTGCTTTGTACTCCTGACCAAAGGAGTGGAGAAAGCAATGACAGGAGAGGTTTACCTCCTGTGGGAAGTGCCTGCTGCTGCCATGTGCTCTGCTCCATGAACATGCTTTGGGTGCCACAACCAGGGCTTGCAGGCTTAGAGAACAAACTGCAGGCTATTCAGTTTTGAATTGCAAGTAAAAGCATGGAAAGACCATCTGCCATAACGCTATGATAAAGACTGTTTTATCTGTGATTCAGATGGAGTTGACATCTTGTCTTGTATCTATCGGCGAGGCTTGTCTGTCCTCGGCATGATTCCTGCTCTTTACCCTGGTACCCAAATCTAGGCACTTCCCCAAACCTGACCCACATCCTGGGCTCTTGGCATCCTCAGGTCTTTGTCTCAGGGAATGTTTGCCTCTCAGCTGGGGGAGGTAGGGCTTGGAAGCCACTTTGCTTTTGTGGCTTCTCTTTCCTGGGGTGACTCACAGCCATGGTTATCTCATCCATTGCCTCAGAAACTGCTCACTTTGAAAGCCTCCCCTGCCAGTCTTTTGTGTTAGAAACCTTTTCTTTGCTGTTCTTTTTCCATACTTAAGTAGTTACTTTTTTCATGAATGACTCTTCACTGTTCTCTGGCATATCTTGGGGATGGGGGGTGATTTAGGCTAGTAGCCCTACTCTGTTGACCTCTCAAGGCTCCTTGTTGGCCTCTGTGTTCTTTCCCTAGGGAGGCTCTGGATCTAGAGATCTTTTTTTGAAGTTGGGAATTGGTGGTTACATCTTCTTGGACCTGCTTTCTCTGTGACCTGAATGTTGTTCAATCTCTCACCAGTATGGAGGGGTGGATGGACTAGCGGCGCTGGAAGATGGAACTATACTCTTCAAAGGCTACCACATGGTTGCCTCCCCTAGGTCAGTTCTCAGAGGGGTTGGTTGACAATACTTCCCTGTCCTGAATCCTCTCAGAGACTTTGAACTTAAGTGGGTTGGAGGCTCCTTGGTGGCTAGCTCTTCCAAAGAGCAGTCAAACCCTGAACTCTGGACCTCCACAGGGCTTCTTGGCTCCATTTACTCTCCTGCACTCTACAGGCTGTGAGAGGATCAGACAGCACTTTCCCTTTGTATGGCCTAGGACCCATAAACTCCCAAGGTCAGTGGTATCTCTAATTTACCCCTATGTGTATGTGGGTCTGTTCTCAGGGACAGTGTTTAGAGAGAGAACCTCTGCTTTCTGAATTCTGCCCACCCGGAGACCAACTCGAGCTGGGGTTCAGGATTGAGGGGCTCTTAAAGAGTTTCTAGCCACCCTGATGCGGCTATGGTAGGCAGATTAGGGACAATGTCCTAGCAGGGGTTCCTTCAATCTGGGAGGAGGAGGAACTCCAGATCTCAGACACAGCGACATCTGATTCTCATGCGGCATCTGGGAGGATCATTACTGGTGAGAACCACAGGTTTCTCTCCTCCATCGCCTAGGGGCGGGGGCAGGGGCGGAAGGCTGCAGCGTCCTCGTTTAAGGACCTAGCCACTTCACAGCTTTGGGCCAGCTCTGGTGAACTAAGTGCACAGAAATTGTGGAAGGACACAGTTTCCCCACGTGCCTCCCTTTGGCAGCATTTTCAAGATTATCCAAGGCAGAGGGTGTTGGGTAGGGAACCGGAATGAAGGGATGAAGGGAGCCAAATCCGTTCTCCAGGTTAATGTGAAGTGGTATTTTCCTAGTGGGTGTTACTTTAAACATGTCTCTTCCTACGCTTTCTTTAGAAATGTTCGCTCCTTTTTCACACAGAATAGACGGGTCTCTGGGCAGCGATGTGCAGCTCCCTGGGGTGCGTGGGGCAGCTCTGGTTCAAGCCGCCACCGAGGCCGAGCGCTCGTCCTCCTGCGCAGCTAGAGAGGCCGGAGGGGTTGGGCCGGGCCGGCGCGCGTCCGTTGCCAAGGCCGCGCGGCCCTAGAGACCGGGCATGAAAGGCGCGCGCAAGCGCGGTGGCGAGCTGCGGTGCACTGTGGGATGGGAGACCGGCGCGCCGGGACGGCGGGCATCTCGGGGCACCGGGCAGAGGCGCGGCGCGCGAGGATGGGTGCGGGCGGTCGCGGGCGCCAGCGCCATGAACGCGGCAGTGGTGCGGCGGACTCAGGAGGCTCTGGGCAAGGTGATCCGGAGGCCGCCGCTCACCGAGAAGCTGCTGAACAAGCCGCCGTTCCGCTACCTGCACGACATTATCACTGAGGTGGGCGCGGGCTTGGGTGCGGGTCAAGTCAGGCTCAGGTCGAGGTGGGGTGAGGGAAGGGATAGAGTGCGGGACTGGACGAGGGCGGGGGTAGGGTGCCGGACCGGTTAAGGGTCAGGGTAAGTGTGGGACGGGTTGAGGCTTTGGGGTAGGGTGTGGGACTGGGTGAGGGTCGGGGTGAAGGTTAGAGTTGGGTGCGGGACGAAGTGAGTGTCCGGGTGGGGTGAGGGTCGGGGTAGGATGCTGGTCTGAATATGATGCGGGTTGAGGTGAGGGTCAGAATAAGGGTCGAGTCAAGGTGAGCGTTCAGGTAGAGTGAGGGTCGGGGTAGGGTGACAATCAGGGCTCAGGTGGAAGTGAAGATCAGTCTCGGGGTGCAGATCTAGACTGAGGTGAGTGAGGGTAGGCCCCAGGTGCTGGTGGAGTGAGAGTGCGGTGAGGGTGGAGATGCAGGTCCAGGTGAGGGTGAGGGTCAAGGTTGGGCTTCATTTGGAGTCAGCGTAGCATAGAGGATGCTCGTCAGTGTGAGAGTCAGGATTGGTTGCAGGTTGGGGTTGGGTTGGAGGGTCAATGCCAGGCGCGGGTCTGAGGCCTGGGTCTGGGGCCAGGCTGATGGGGAGGGTACTGAATCCAGGGTCTAGGGTTGGTTGTAGGTTTGGAGGGCCAGGCTTGGCTGGTTACAGGCCAGGTTGTGGGCCCGGACCAAGGTGAGGGTCCAGGCTAGAGGCTGGGTCAAGTGGTCTGTGTGGAGATCTAAGGGTCAGGGTTAGGGTCTGGAGTCCAGAGTCAAGCTGTAAGTTAGGGGTTGCTGGGGCCAGAAGCTGAGACTGGGGTGTGGATGGAGTTCAGGGCCAACATCAGTATGTGGGGCTGAGCCCTGGAACAGGTCTGGGGCCCAGGGTCAGGGTGCTGTTAGGAGCTGGAGTGTATGTTGGAGGCCTGGAATTGGGTTCTGCTTATAGTTGAGTATAAGGTAGGATGGAGGTCCTTGTCTGGGGCCCAAGTGAGAGCTTGGCTAGGGCTGTGGTGCCTTCCATTTTGGAGACTTAGGCCTACAAGGTCTTGGGACCTGCCTTACTTTGCCACCTCTTACAAGGAGGCTTCTGGGCTCCTCCCAAAAATACTCATATTTTTTTTCCCACTTACCATTGTGTCTCGTTAGAGCATGTCTCCCATTTGTTAGCAAATCTCCTGGGAGCTACCCTGGATGAGGTACCTAGCATTGTACAACAGTCACAATTGTGTTGTCCCTCCTCCTCTCAGCTGGTTGAGCATCTTTGTCCACCCTTTGCTTGACTCATTTTGGCCCTCCTACCATAGCTTGTAATGGGTGCTGTGGAGGAACAGGCCCTGTCTGTTAGCAGTCTTAGGTGTGCCCAGGAATACTCTAGAATCTACTCACATCCCGAGGAACCCCGCTGGCTGGTCAAAGGGACTGGCTGTGGGAGTCCTGGGAAGCAGTCAGTTGCTGCCCTCCAATACGAAGGAGGCAGTCTGGCACCGGCCTATCACAGTGGAGAGACTGCCAAACCTGTGCTTTTTTTCTGCACTGTCAGCCCATGGCTTTCTGAGTGCACCTCATCCTGAAGTCACTCAGGAATGGAGTGGGGCTGGTGGGAGCTAGGGAGGGAGAAGCAGAAGAGATGTGCAGGTAGACAGATAAGGTGTGAGGTGCTTTTCTTCTAGACTTTTCTGGTTCCAGTAATGAAGCCAGTATGTTCTGGTATAAAGATAAGTATACTAGCTGTTGCCTCCTTGTCAGATTTGCCCTGCTTGGAAATATTTTCAGATCCCAGGTAGAAAGGCTCCTAGTAGGTTCTTTTCTCTCCCTGAATATCACATTCAAGTCACCTTCATGGGTTAGCTGTGGCTAGCTGGCTGTTTCTTCATTAAGTAAGCCTCTTAATGGATGTCTCTTGTCACAGTTACTGCTCACAGTTTAAACTGTCATTGTCCTGAGGGTGGTCCCCATGCCAGCTACCTTTGCTAAACCTTAGATCAGGATGCCCTGGTGGCCTTCATGTCAGCTATTGTCTCTAAACCTTAGATCAGGATGCCCTGGTGGCCTTCATGTCAGTTATTGTCTCTAAACCTTAGATCAGGATGCCCTGGTGGTCCCCATGCCAGCTATCATCTCTAAACCTTAGAGCAGGATGCCCTGGTGGTCCCCATGTCAGCTATTGTCTTTTAACCTTAGATCAGGATGCCCTGGTGGTCCCCATGCCAGCTATCATCTCTAAACCTTAGAGCAGGATGCTCTGGTGGTCCATGCGCCTGCTATCTTCTCAAAATGGCCTGGCACAAGCCCAGCCCAGCAGGGTAGTGACTCTCCTATAGTTTGTTCTGAGATGGACTCTTCCAGATTAATTAATAACTAGTACGATGCAGCCAAAGTAGCTGTAGCCCCATCCCAGAGGAGGAGGTGGCATTCACATGGGGCTGTCTTGCTGCCGATGTTTTTAAACCTGCCTCCTGGTAACGTGGTTACTGTGTACCATTTGCCTGGTCATACGAGTCCTCACTAATCACCACATTCACATTCCTGATGGCTTTTTTTTTTTTTTACTTTTGTTTTAAATGCTGTTGCTGCCTGTCTTACTGACTGTCTAATAACTTACCCCTCCGAGAACCCAGGACTCTAGCCAGATGTCGGGGCACAGAGGAACAGAAAATCATAGTGCTTTGCTAGAGGTAACTAGGTTATAGGTTACTTGTGGGGAGGGGCACGATAGGGAGAGACACATGTGATTGGATGGAGGAACGCTCCATGGTGGTAAGAAATGACAGACTGTCTGGAACTGGTTTTAGATACCCAGGCTAAGTAGCTGCTTTCCGGAGTTCATTCCACCAGTGTGTTCTAAGTGCCCTGGCGAAGGTTTGTGTGGTCAGGTCCTCTACTATATAAAAGCTCTTTGTGTCTCCTTGAATGCTTTGGTTTGTGGTCTCAAGTTGCTGCAAAGAGACTGGAGTCAGGCCTGCTGTGACCGTGGTCTCAGGCTCCTGCCATCCCACTTAACTTTGGTCCCTCTGATGGAACCTGTCAGCCTGGACTTGGTGGTTGTTTTCTTTTGTTTAGTGTGTACATGCAAGTTCTTCCTTGTCAGTCTCTGGCCTCAGTGGAAATCTGTCCCTGGTACCTCTTGGTCTCCCTTCCCAGTACCAGCTCAGCGTTGGTAGTCTTTACTGTCTCTATAACTGACTGTTCTCTGAAGCCTGGGCCCCGAATTTAGCAGGTGTCAAACCTTTGTTGAGGAAGGGGATGAGGCAGTTAGAGCTGTAGGTGTGACCGGGTTCTTACCTCTCCTGGGAGTGGGCTTCAGTGGGTGAGTCAGTGCAGCGGCTGTCCACTGAGGTGCATATGATGGTTCCTTCTGCCTCCTGCAGGTGATCAGGATAACTGGCTTCATGAAGGGCCTCTACACAGATGCTGAGATGAAGTCAGACAACGTCAAGGTAGGTTCTACTGTGAGTTCCTTTTCTCCACACCCTTGCCTTCAGGAGTAGAGCATGTTTTCCAAGCTGCACACCACTATACAGTTTGATGGGTAGATCACAAGGCTGATTTTGAGTTATGTGTACTTCTCTTGTTTCATTTTCTCATTCGTGATAACAGTATGCTATGCTAAATTGATCTTCTGAAAAGCAGAATTTGGGGCTGAACAGAGAACTCAGTTGGTTAAGGGCTGGCTATGCAAGCATGCAGACTGCAGTTATATCCCCCAGAACCCGTGTGAAAAACTGGGTATGACAGTGTATATTGGAATCCCAGAGCTGGAGAGGTGCTTGGTGACCAAGTAGCCTAGGAAAATAAGTGAGCTTTAGGACCTGAGACCCCGTCTCAACACACCAAGTAGATATATCCTGAAGAATAAATGACATCCGAGGTTGATCTCTGGCCTCCGTATGCACGCACACACTTGCGCTTGTGCAACAGCCCCAACATTTATACCCACGTGTCTGTGCACATACACATCTATACACGCACAGAAAGAAAACAATTACAGCCAGCTTTGCTGATGCATAGCTATAATCCCAGCACTCAGGTACTGAGGAGGACCGCTGCAAGTTCAAGGCCAGCTTGACTACATAGTGAGTACCCACAAGGCAAGGCTACAGCAAGACCCTATTCCAAAACATAAAAGTAAAGCAAAGCAGACTCAGTCGCCAGACATGTGGGGCACACCTGCTTTCCTAGCACTTGGGTGGCTGAGATGAGACATGAGTTCAAAGCTAGCCTGGGCCACACAGGCCATATCTCTAAAACAAACAAAAGACCCAAAACAGATGGAGTGTTTTCTAGGTTAATGCTAGCCCATTAATGGCACCGAAAGCTTGAATGAGTAGATTTTGTTGTAAACAATGGAAGTTCATAAGAGATAATAAAAAATCAGAAATCCTAAATTTGTCATTCATCTAAAAATAGTTTTTCATGTAAAGAGGAGGCATTCTGTACCTATTGAATATACCGAGGGTAGTACAGATGCCTCAAAGTATTTATTTCAAAATCGAAGTTTTACTTTAAAATATCTTTTGAAAATTTCATATATATATATATTTTGGTTTTTCGAGACAGGGTTTCTCTGTAGCTTTGGAGCCTGTCCTGGAACTCCCTTTGTAGACCAGGCTGGCCTCGAACTCACAGAGATCCGCCTGCCTCTGCCTCCCAAGTGCTGGGATACAGGCGTGCGCCACCACCACCCGGCTGAAAATTTCATAAATTTTTACAGAGTATTTTGTTCATATCTGTTTACTGCTGCCTCCCTCCTGCTCCCCTGGTGTTCCCTACATTCCCTCCCTCCCAAGTTTATGGCTTCCTTTTTAAGGGGAAAAAAAAAACCCAAAAACTTCTGTGTGTGTGTGTGCACACATGTGTGCGTGCGTGTGTGTGTGTGTGCGTGCGTGTGTGTATGTGCACGTGTGTGTGTGTTTGTGTGGTTACTGTGTGAGCGCAATGCCTGTGGAGTCCAGAATAGGATGTGGGATCATTTGGAGCTAGAGTTACAGGTGGTTATGAGCCACCTCTTGGGTCCTCTGTAACAACTCTATACTCTTTCAATTACTGAGTCATTTCTCCAGCCCTAAAGTATTTAATATTTGTCTCTTACATGGAAATATTTCAGGATAAAGATGCAAAAATTAGCTTCCTACAGAAGGCCATAGATGTGGTCATGATGGTCTCAGGAGAACCCTTGGCAGCAAAACCAGCTCGAATCGTGGCCGGGCATGAACCTGAGAGAACCAATGAGTTGCTTCAGTTGATTGGCAAGTGCTGCCTCAACAAGGTAGGTGGAAGCCTGCCTTTTGGGAGCCTTCCTGGTAGGCAGCGTGTCCGAGACTGGTTGAGCTGGTGGGAAAGCTTTCCTTGTCCATGCTTGTAGAGCAGGTGGAGCAGCTGTGTGAGTGAGCAGGTCCTGTGCTGCTCTCTCCGGTTATTTGGGAATTGGTTGGCAGGACAGAAAAGTCCGCCTACAGAGAGCTCTCCAGTACCCTGGACAACTGGGAGGGCTGCAGAAGCCAGAATCTGTGTTTGATGACACTTGAGGTAGCTTTCTGTTGTGTCAAATCCAAGTTGCAACCGTCCTGGTTGTCATGCATTTGAGTGTGTGAATACATTAGTGCTCTAGTTTGAATACATTAGTGATGTGTGGCGTCACTGTCACTATGCTTCGTTTGCGAAACTAACGTTCTGTGCCCATCAGGTAAGAATGTACTCTCCTGTTCCTCCTACCTCAGTAACAGCTGTCCCCTGTGTCACCACGAGTGTGACTGTCCACGTCTCTCATGGATGTGGTAGTATTTGTCCTTTCAGTAGCCTGGTGTCCTCAGAGTTCACCCACTGTATATCAGGGTCAGTTTTCTTCCCACTTAGTTAGCAATACTCTGCTCTGTGGATAGACTACATTGTTTGCCCACTCGTCTGTCAAGGGACATCTGTGTTGCTCTCACTTGCTACCTGTCACAAACAGTGTCTCCCTGGGCACAGATTGGAGCTGTCTCTTTAGACCAACTTTTTTTTTTTTTTTTTTTTTTTTTCTTCTGTAAACCGGGAGGGTGGTGGCCAGGTCATGCTGATTATTCTATGTCTTACTGTGAGGAGTTGCCTCATTGTCTTCTGGAGGATGGCACTCTCTGCATCCCCAGTGACTCACAGGCTCTACTTTTCCCTCGTTGTTCTTATAATTTAAATTTTTTGTTTTGTAATAACTGTACTAATAGATGTGTGGGGATTAGATCCTGGGATTCTGTTTGAAGACATTTGTAGTGCTGTGTGGGTTACTGGAGCCACACACATGTCCACACTGACAGTCCGGGTAGAGGGACGGCAGGATTATTAGCTTGGGTGTCCTTAGTAGTGGCTGTCAAATGGGGGGCTTTGTCACTACCGTTTTATGTTTTATCCTCCAAATGTCCTTTATCTGTCTGATGAGCTGTGCTTGAGTGCTGCATTTTCATTGGTTGTCCGTGCTGACATCATTTCCCCTTCCCTGACATGGCCGACAAGCTCTCCAGTGATGAGGCCGTGAAGAGAGTCTTAGCTGGGGAGAAGGGAGACTCGAGAGGACGGGCCGTACGGACCTCCAAAGCACCTGAGTCTGACAACAAGGGCGTGAAGGAAGAAGATTCCAGAACTCATAAAGAGGTGAGTGGTAGGCGGCGCATCTTCGAAACAGCAGGTCTTCATAGTTTAAGTAAAATGTGAAAATGACGTACGTGTCCATACGCTTTTCTTCAGGACAAAAGGAACTCTGAGGTGAAGGAGGGAAGCACGAGTGCAGAGCACAAGCAGAAGGAGGAACTGAAGGACGAGAACAAACCACGGGAGAAGGAGAGGGACAAGGAGAAGGCCAAGGAGCCTGACAGAGACCGACACCGAGACTCTGACAAGGACAGAAACAGAGAAGGAGAACGGGAGAAAGCCAGAACGCGGGCCAAGCAGGACAGGGACAGAAGCAACAAAGACCGGGACAGAGAAGCCGAAAGGGACAAGGAGAGAGACAGGAGGAGTGAGGGCGGGAAAGAAAAAGAGAGGCTGAAGGACCGAGACCGCGACAAGGGGAAAGACCGGGAACGGCGGAAAACGAAGAACGGGGAGCATTCCCGGGACCCTGACAGGGAGAAGAGCAGAGATCCAGACAAGCCAGAGAGAAAGGCATGGCCATGATTGCGACTTCCTTTTTCCTTTTAGATGTGTTATTATTTTTATGATTATGTATGTGCTTGAATGAGTGCATGGGCACCATGTATATGTAGGAGCCCTGGGGCCTGAAGGGGGCATCACATCCCCTGGTGCCGGAGTTACTGGAGGTTCTGAGCTGCATGTGGATGCTGGGAAATGAACCCAAGTTCTCTGCAGGAGGAGCCAGCTCTCTTAATCCAAGCCCCGAGGCCCACTCAGGGAGAGAGTGGCATGCTCCCTAACACAGCATCTGCCCTCCTTTTGCTTTTTTTTTTATGTATATATATTTATTTATGATGTATACAGTATTCTGTCTGTGTGTCTGCAGGCCAGAAGAGGGCACCAGATCTCATTATAGATGGTTGTGAGCCACCATGTGGTTGCTGGGAATTGAACTCAGGACCTTTGGAAGAGCAGGCAATGCTCTTAACCGCTGAGCCATCTCTCCAGCCCCTCCTTTTGCTTTTTTTAAAGACTTCGTTTTTAAATTTGATTTTAAAAATTTGTGCGAATGCATGTAACATTTGCTGGAGGCACAGGTGGTTGTGAGCCGCCTGACGTGTGGGTACTGAGAATCGAACTCTGTATCTCTGCAAGCGTTAGCAGGGACTGCTGAGCCATCTTGCTGCTGCTGAACCTGTCATCCTAGGAAATTTGGCACTGAGTTTTAGCTCTCTTTGGTTCCTTGTAGTAATTCAGAGAGATACCAGTTTTGTGTCAGGTGTCTTAAATTTTTTTAAAAATTTATTTATGCTTTATTAATTGCTTAGTGTGGTGCATGAAGTGGTTGTGAAGGTGGGTGTGTCCATGCCACAGTGTAGAGGCCAGGGGACAACTTTGCGGAGTTGGTTCTCCTAACCTTTATGCTGGGTTCTGGAGATCTAACTTAAGGTGCTGGGTTTGCATGGAAAATGCTTTTACACACTGAACTATCTTACTGGCCTAGTTTTTAAAAAACTTTAAATGTTTTTGTTACTTATTAATAGTAGTTCAACCATTTAACTCAGCATTATTCGGGAAGTTTTCAAACACTGAAAGTACCCTTGAGCACATACTCTGGGTGGTACTTCTGCTCACCATTGAATTCCTGGTCTAGTTGAGTGCTGGCACGTAGTAGGTGTATAGTAGACCTTAGGTGAAGGAAGGAGTCAGGCATCAGGCAGGGGATAGAAGGCTCTTTCGATCTTGAATCTTTGGATGGTGCTGATGAGTTCATAGCAGCTTTTGGAGTGTCTGGGAATTCAGAGAGGGAGCCAGGAAACACTGCTGCCAAATGTCTCCTGTCCTCAGAGTATAGCATTTGACAGTTCCCTGCTGGGCCTATGGAGAAAGCCCCTTCCTGACAGTGAGCTGGTGTGCTTTTGGCCTTGCTTTATCTCACTAGATGATCCCAAGGTCCCTCATCTGCGTTTTTGCAAACTGTGTCATTCACCACAGATCCAGGCGTGGTCTCCCCTGGAGTGTGGACTGACTGAGCTTATCAAGGATTCGAGCTACTTTCAGAGTTTCTTTAGGCATTATAATTGTCTTAAGACTCCATTTTCCTGTACTTCCTCTTTAATGACATTTTCAGGTAAAATCGAGGTTGGCCAGGAAACTGTCCTGTTTCTCATGGCTTTGTGAATGCAGGTGCCTAGTCAGTTCTCTCCGCGTTGTGACAAATAGCTCACAAGAAACAGTCTAAGAAGGTTGGGCTTCCTGTTGTGGCTCCAGGGTGTAGTCCAGGGAGAGGACTCGACAGCAGGCCCTGGAGAATGGAGTCCCAGAGCAGTTTGCCTTCTCTTATAATTGTTTTGGGACCCCAGCCCTTGAGTGATGCTGCCCACGGTCTGCAGGTCTTCCCAGTTCAGGTAAATCTAGGTCGTCCTTCATTGCATGTCCAGAGAACTCTCTCACAGGTGTCTAGAGCCTAGTGTGCTTGAAGCATTCTAGAGAGGCTGAGAGTCCATCTGCTTGCAGCTGCTGACCAGAGGGCAGCCAAGATGTAGGCTGGCCCAAAATCAACCTGTGGCCGTTATCTTGCTCTGTGCTGCAGCAAGGTGACTGTCTGGGAGAGGATTGGAGTTTGTAGGACCAGCCATGCCGGTGTCCTGTGACTGCTTGTCTGGGTGTCAGCGTGTTCCCTTTTCTTGATCTGGTGTGGTGAGGCTGTGTCACTTTGTCGATAATTGTGTTTAGTGTTCTGCTGGGCACTTACTTGGGTATTTGCTATTTAAGTCACATTTTAACTTCCCACACACATCCCGGAGTAATGTACCCAGTGTCAGAATGTACCCGTGTCATGATAACCTGGGTTCCTTGATGACTTTGGGAAATGAGCTGTTTCCTCTCATTACCTCTTGTTAGTGGCCTAAGGAAGTATTTTTCACTGAGCTGAGTTTTGAGAGGCACAGGTGTATTCTGCTGTTTTCCAACTATGCGAGGCAGTCCCTCACACAAACAGCCTTCCTCTGCCTGACTCCAGATCAAGCATCCACACGTCCTGCTCACTGAAGCTGCTGCTGTTCCAGAGAGGAGGGTTTGTGTAAGAGCCAAACGCAAGTGATGGTTTTGTTTCAAAGGATGGAAAACCACAGTCAAGTGAAGTTTAGTTTGCTGAGATCTGGTGTTTCTGTTTGCCTGGCTCTTCTGCTATTGATCTGGTGGTGCCTTTATTGTGCTTTGGGGGGTCTGGGAAGCCAACAGTGAAGTTTCCTGTGGCCAGAAGTGCTATGCAGATGTGACACCCCTCACAAAGGACCCTCTGGGGTTTTGCTGCAGCCACTCCTACTCTGGCCAGTTCCCAGGCTCTTTTACAGTCTAGAAGGAGGAGATGTTCTCAGGCTGCCTGGTGGACTTCTGTGAAGAAAGGTGCAAAGGTGTGCAGTCAGTGGGGCTCCAGGGAGGGTGCAGTCAGCGGGGTCCAGGGTGGGTGCAGTCAGCGGGGCTCCAGGGAGGGTGCAGTCAGCGGGGTCCAGGGTGGGTGCAGTCAGCGGGGCTCCAGGGAGGGTGCAGTCAGCGGGGCTTCAGGGTGGCATTAGAGCCTAATTGCTGGCTCAGTCTTTGCTGGGGCCTGGCCACCATCTCTGCCTCTCTGAGGCTAGAAGCTATGGCTGTGTAGGTTGAGGCTGACCTGAATTCAGCAATTACTAATGATTCTGTTCTCAGAGAGCTAGTTTAAGGAGTAAGATGGAATTTACAGTACTCACTTGGTTCCCGACAGCATTTTCACTGTAGCTGTGAGGAGTCCTTCCATTCTGCAGTTACTCCATTATCAGGAGACACCCAGAAGACAGGAGTGGGTTTACAGTCACGCCACCCCTCACTTCTGGATCCCGGGTGTCCTGTGTGATTTCCTGTGAGGCCCTACCTACCTGAGGGTGTCTCTAGATCTCCTCAGTTTTCTTGGAAGACTCTGGAACTTCTCGGTAGAATAACATGGTTCTCAGACCTGGAGCGGCAATGTGCTCCTATGTCTTTTGTGTTCCTCCGTGCCATGTGCTGTATTTCAGCACTTTGCTTTTCATTGTTAATATTACAGATTTTAACAGTTCTTCTTTTTATAGTCAGCAAGCTCAGGGGAGATGCCTAAAAAGTCGGATGGATCCTTCAAAGATGCCAAAGTAGAGATGGAGGTAATGTTTACAAACCGTACTTTCTGTCTGTCTGTTCATGTTTGCTTTTCTGTTGCCATGCTAAAACACTGACTCAAACCTACCCGGGGGAGGTAAAGGTTCGTGTGGTGTATACTTCCACATCACAGCCCATCATTAGAGGAAGCCTGGAGGCAAGACTGCAGCAGAGAGCAAAGGAACACTGCACACTGCCTTGCTCCCAGACTCAGTCGGCTTCTCTATAGTCTGGGCCCACCTGCTGGGGATGGCACTGCACACGTCAGTCAGTAGTCCAGAAGGTACCCCACAGACATGCTCACAGACCTGATGGTGCTTCTTTCTTTCTTTGCTTTTTTGAGACAGGGTTTCTCTGTGTAGTGCTGGCTGTCCTGGAACTTGCTCTGTAGACTAAGCTGACCTCAAACTCAGAGAGCAGCCTGTCTTTGCTTCCTGAGTGCTGGGAGTAGAGATTTGTACTGTACACCTGGCTCTTGATGGAAGCAATTATTTTTATTTATTTATTGAGCTCTACATTTTTCTCGGCTCCCCTCCATACCTCTCCCCTTCCCCCTCCCTGCTCCAGCCCTCCCCCAAGGTCCCCATGCTCCCAGTTTACTCAGGAGATCTTGTCTTTTTCTATTTCCCATGTAGATTACATCTATGTATGTCTCTCTTAGTGTCCTCATTGTTGTCTAAGTTCTCTGGGATTGTGGTTTGTAGGCTTGTTTTCTTTGCTTTATGTTTAAAAACCACCTATGAGTGAGTACATATGATAATTGTCTTTCTGTGACTGGGTTACCTCACTCAGATGGAAGCAATTCTTAAACTGAGGCTTCCTTTTCTCTAGTTTCTCTAGTATGTGGAAAGTTGACAATAAAAGACAATATTGTGTGTGTGTGTGCACATGCATGTGTGTGTGTATGTGTATGTGAAGCATGTGTATGCGTGCATACATGCATGTGTGTGAAGCATGTGTACGTGCATGCATGTGTATGTATACATGTATGCAAAATGTGTATGGTGTGTGTGCATGTGTGTGTGTGTGTGTGTGTGTGAGTGTGAGTGTAGCCATTTGTCTGCCATGATGTGTGTGTGGAGACTGGAGGACACTCTTGGTGTCAGTCCTCTCTTCCACCTCTTTTGAGACAGGATCTTTGTTGTTTGTCTGGTTTATGCCCCAGACTAACTGGGCCATGTTTCCTGGGGTTCTCCTGTCTTCACCTTTTATCTCTCTGTAAGAACAGATGGATTATAGACACATGTGCCATGCATCCACCTTTTGTGTGGATTCTGAAGTTGCAAACTCAGGCCTTTCTGCTTGTGCGTGATGTTTTAGTTACTTTTCTGATGCTGCGATGAAAATCCCCTGACAAAAGCAACTTCAGGGAGAAAGGGTTTAATTTGACTCACAGTCTGTCATAGCAAGAAAGACATAACCACAGGAGCTTAGGGATCTGATCAGTTTCCAGCCAGTGACTGGTCCCACCAACAGTGAAGTGGGGGTGTCTTTCCATCTCATTAATCTACCCAAGGTGACCCCACAGACACGCCCAGAAGCCCAATTCCCAGGTGTTGTAATTGGAGCGGTGGGGTTGCGTCCCCAGCACCCCGGCTGCCTGGCTTGCTTATGCCCCGAAATAACAACACACAGACTGTATTCATTTAAGCACTGCTTGGCCCATTATATTTAGCCTCTTCTCGGCTAACTCTCGCACTTGGACTAGCCCATTTCTAATAATGTGTGTAAGCACCCCAAGGTGCGCTTACCGGGAAGATTCTAGCCTACGTCCATCCTGGGTCGGAGCTTCATTGCATGTGCCTCAGAGAGCAGAGCTATCGCGTCTACCCGGGAGAGAGGAGCCTGTTGTCTCTGAGAGGAGCTGCATGGTTTCTGAGCTCACTTCCTCTTCCTCCCAGCATTTTGTTCTGTTTACTCCTCCCATCTATGTTTTAACCTATGAGGCCAAGCAGTTCCTTTATTACTTAACCAATGACCTTCCTCCATAACCCAGGTGGTTGCGGATCTATCAGGTTGGCAAACTGAGCTGAAGGATCATTGGCAGCCAGCACTCTGACCCACTGAGTCATCTTCCTAGCCCCCGAGGAACAGTTTTAAGAGATGTCGGTTTAGACTTGCATCAAAGCTGTGGAGTGCTCTGTCCTCTCTGGTCTGCTGGGTTTCGGTGGAGAGGGTGTGTTTAATGCCTGTTGTGCTACCTGCGGTGTGCCTGGCGTATCACCTGCTGGGCAGGTGGGATGGCATTCTGTGGGCCCTTCGAGGTTTATGCACATCTTTGCATGAGAAGGCTAGTATGTGTAGTTCATTTGGGGGAGACGGTGGAGGTGGCTTCTAGAGACAGCCAGGTAGAGGGATCCATCTAAGCTTTGCCTGGTGAATTTCAGACCCTACAATGTTTCTTCTGTAGCTGATGCATAATCACGGTGTCATCCCTTTGTAGGCCATCTTGGTCTGCTTGGGGAGGCTGGATTCATCATAGGGTTTTTGTTTGTTGGTTGGTTGGTTGGTTGGTTGGTTGGTTGGTTGGTTGGTTGGTTTTTTTGAGACAGGGTTTCTCTGTATCTTTGGTGCCTGCCCTGGAACTAGCTCTTGTAGACCAGGCTGTCCTCAAACTCACAGAGATCCACTTGCCTCTGCCTTCTGAGTGCTAGGATTAAAGGTGTGCGCCACCACCACCCAGCTTCATCATAGGTATTGAGGAACCATTGAAGAGTTGAAACCAACTTCCATAATTCATCTTGAAGTATTCAGAACCAGGAGATGCAGGAAACTGTAGCAGGGCTGGGGAGGCCATGGGGCTATTTGGGGATGAGAGTGGCAGACTGTGCCAGGCAAGGCGGGGGTGGGGAGGTTGGGGGAGGAGAAGGTAGAGAGAATGAAGAAGGAGGAGGGGTGAAGGTTTGAGAGGAGGAGGGAGGGAGGAACTGAGGGAGAGGGCTGTACTGTGTTCTCTCTGACACCCCCCCCCTTTAATGTGATTGTTGTTTTTGTTTTTAAACCATGTGAGAAGGTTTTACGTACAGAGTTCTGTACAAATCCATTACCGTAATTGAGGGCGGTCATGTACCGTGTGTGACATCTTGGCCAGTAATGGGCTGCATCTAAGAAGGGGGCCCTGCAAAACTGTATTCCTGATTAACCCTATGACACCTTAGCCTGTGCAGATGCTACCCCCTGAGGTGTTGAGCCTCTGAGGAAATCACCTGCTGCGCAGCACAGTGGACAAGTGTCTTGTCCTTCAGCCTGGGCCTGTGTGTAGCAGCAGAGGTAGGCTCCCCATAGGCACATCTCACAGTGTTTCCCAGTCAGTGGTGCAGACGGATCTACATGCAGGGCGAGGAGGTTTATCTCTACTTCTCACTTCAGGTTCGAGGCTATAGTCACATGGGCTGGTGTGGTCCCTCAGGCCAAAGTATGTATCCCGTTACAGTCTTCCAGCAGAGCGTGAAAAGTAAGTTCTGATAGAATCGATGTGCAGTGTGCCAAGTAATTCCTTTCCTTCTCTTCTTTAAGGCTGAGGTTTCTGCGGGAGCATCCAGGTCCTTGCCATCAAAAGCATCAAAACGGCGATCCAAGAATTCACTGGAAGGTACTGCAAAGCTGCCTGTGCATGTAGCTGGGATGGAGGCTGGCCTTTGTGTTTGGCCAGGGGGTAGTAGAAGGGAGCCTTGGGGAGCACAGCACTGCCACACCGGGGGGCGGGGGGGGGGCGGGTGTAGACTCTGAAACTGGAGATTGTGGCTTCTGCACATATCCACAGAGGGGTGTGTGTATATATATACATGCAAGCTCATGCTGCCCAGGGCAGGAGAACCTATTGAAATCTCATGGGTGCGTTGAACTTCCTTTCAGAATTACTTGTCAGCCATCTTGGTCTCATTGGCTCTTCTGCTCTGGTAGAAAGAGTTTAACCCTGTTGCAGATCAGACACAGAGAGCCCCCAGGCAGATGCTGTTGCACTTAAAGAAGGACTCTTGTTGAGAAATGGCCTCACAGGCCTGGTTTGGGATTTGCTTAGCAGACAGGACAGGAGAGCTTTGGGGATCCTGGGACAGCCTCTAGTGTTGGAGGCTTATGAACTTCACTGAAGTACGAAGTGGCTTTGGCTGAGCAATAGTAATTTTGGAAGAATTACCTTCTTTCTAGCCTGTGACGTCATAAGTGTCAGGAGTATGGTGGTTGGGGTTTTCACTCAGCAGTGACGCCTCACCTAGTTGTCATGTTGTGGTGACATTTTATGCTAAAAGCCTTTTCCTATGTGTGCTGTCCGTGGCAGAAGCCCAGGGGCAGTTGCTGGTATAAGGGCAAGGGTGATGTTAGGCCTTAGCCACAGGGCTCCATGGACAGACACTTCCTTCATCCCTTCCCAGTGCTTCAGAGCTTTCCAGATGTTCTAGGTAAATGTGGGGATGTAATTCCTAGTGAGACTGCATTTTCCCATGGTGGTAAGTTTTTGGTGGCTCTGGCATACCTCCGTCAGTGGCCTGACTCCTCTGGAGTGCAGTGCTGGTGGTCGTTGGCACTCACTCCTTGTTAGGATGACTGCAGTGTTTAAATGTTCTCTTCTGGTTTCCTAGTTCTTTTCCCCTTGGTTTGGTTTCTGACTTTCTAAGCACTTAATATTTTAGCTACTTGAAGTTCTTGGAATGTGTCTAGAGGTTTGAGACATGAAGATTGATTTTATAGTCATTTTTACTATTTAGTCTTTTAAGTAAATTCCTCATTGTAACTGACGGTGTGGCTGACGCTCTGGGTTGTTAGGATGGCATCCCGGTGAACTGCCCTTCCCTGGTCCCTGGGACACGTGTCTTCTCTTACTACCTGCCTTCTGTTTTTGCTATTTTAAAAGAAGTTTTATTTAAATTGTACTGTTTTGATTTGTTTATCTTTATAAATTAAAAAAAATTGTTTTGAGACAAAGTCTCACAGTATAACTCTGGCTGGTCTTGAACTCAGAGATTCTTCTACCTTTGCCTCCTTACTGCTGGGATTAAAGGTGTGCACCACCATGCCGGGGTGTTTTATTTTGTTTTCTTCTTCAGTTAAATTTCTTCCAGATAAATGAATTTAAATCACTCTATCACTTATGCTTGCCCTGCGGCCAGGAAGTAGGTAGACTAACTCATCATGACTTGTGTTAGCTGTGTTTTCATAGTTTGGGAAGTCCTGGCTGTGTGTGTGGTGTGCTGGAGAGTCTTTCACTTGAGGCAATTGGTGATACCTTGTGTTGTTTTAATTTTATTTTTGGGAGCCCTGTTTTCCTCCTCATCCTGTTTTTTCTTGGTGGTTTTGTTTGAGACAGGGTCTTACTATGTATCCAGCCTCAAACACACTTTGTAGCCCAGCAGGCTGCCTCAGCCTCCTGAGAGCGAGCATACAGGTGTGCATTCCACACTCTCTCTTCCAATACCTGTTCCTTTGTCGGTGCTTAGTGACACGGTCTCTCTTTTCCTTTTCCTCACCCTACTCTGTGTCTCCTCTCTTCTATGATCCTCAAGAGAATTTGCCATCAGGGACTTGCAAGAATTCTGACTGTGAGCTTTACTGAGCCGGCAGCAGCTTGGTTGATTTTTAGCTGCCCAGCCTCACTGGCCAGGCACTGACACACCAGAGGCCCTTCCCTCAGCAAGGTTGGCACCATACCAGACATTCTGCCTTTCTTGAGTGGGTCATCATTTGAGCAAATGTCCTGACTCAAAGGTGCCCAGGACACAGGGCTTGGGTGTTTGGTTCACAGGGTGAGCCTTGCATGTACTACAAGGAACAAAGGATTCAGGAATGAATAGACTCTCCGGCTCTTCTGGGATCACTGTAGCACTTAAGAGACATAGGAGAATGTGACACTTTTACTTATTCCAAAACAGTTCAAAATATATGTGTGTGAGTATATATACATACATATGCCTGCATATATTCATATATCTGTATATTCAGAACTTACTGACTTCATCTTAGTTCCTTTGCTTGGTAACTGCAGCATTTGTAAGTTTAACACTTATTTTTATTGTGTAATTTCATGTCAGGAAGAAGGGCCTCTAGAGCCAGTGAACATAGCCTTTCCCCTGAAAAAGAACATAACGCTTCCTACCATAAAGCTAAGAAGGACCATAGCATGAAGCAGCTTGGTAAGATCACTCAAGCAGTAGTGAAGCTGGGAGGGCGTGTCTGTGTGCGGAATAGTCAGTGTCAGGTCCTTTGTTCTGAGTGATTTCTGGCCACAGAGGGTGGCCACCCAGCGCCTGCTCCTGTATGATATCAGGCCTCATCTCCAGAGTGTTTCCCGCGTTACAGTAGATGGGGAAGGACTGTGGGCTCTGCCAAGCTGCCACATTGAGCTGCCACATCCAGCTTTATGTCAGTCTTGGACTTAAGTTGCCCATCTGAACCTTCCTTTCTCTCCTGTGCAGAATCTAAAGTCTAAAGAGCCTGCTAGAATGCAAACCTATATAAGGGAAGGAAGAGGAACCCAAGTGAACCAGGAATGAGGGACTCAGGCAAGAAGAGCCTCAGGGAGCCAGGGCCTAGCTCAGAGCTGCCTAGGGAGAAATAAATAGACCTTGTAGCAGGCCCCGAGGAGAGACTGAACTGCTGCAGGCTTGCGTGTGCACGTGGCAGAAGCCCAGCAGTAGACTAGAGTGGAGAGAGGGACAGTGGTTGACTAGGGCCCACATCAGCTGGCAGGACCCTGAGAAACTGTCCTCTTGACTGTATGGCTGCAGGTGTGTGCAAAAGGCCTGGGTGAATTTTATGCAGGGTAAGGATGAGATTTGGCTCTGGAGGGTGGGAGTGGAGGCCAGAAAACATTGAGAGTTTGTAGCCTTGAGAGATGGTGGTGCGTGATGAAATAATGGCGGCACAGCCCCAGAGCCATGGTGGGAGCAGGTAGGAGTCAGGGATTCGGCAGTACAGATAGATGATGGATTGGATGCCACTAGTTAGAAAAGAAAGGACTCAAAGGGAAGACACAGCTGGGAGACTTGGGGCACAGGTGCTGGTTGGTGGGTTAGATGGCAGCAATCAAGTTTGCGATGTCTGAAGCAAGTGGAGGTGTGCATGTGTGCCTGCACAGACTGTGAGTCAGTTAGAGCGTGTTGAGGGAGTCATAGAAACAGGAGGAGACCACAGATGAGTGCTCTTAGTCTGCAGTGATGGCCACAGTGCAGCTTTAGATGATCCTGAGCCCAGATGCATGGAGCAGCAGAGGAAAGGTTGGAGAGGGTATCCTGAGTGCCAAAGGAAGGACATTGGAGGGGACTTTAGTCTCCTAAGGGGTGCCTGGGCCAGTTGAGAGTTGAACACTGGACACGACAGTCTATTGGTTACCTTGGTAGTAGGCCCTGTAAACCCCAATAAAGCAGCCCAAATACAAACGCCTCTCAGCATATTAATCTGCTGTTAACTGTTTTATGTCAGGAAGGAAAGAGGATAATATTTCAGCTAAGATTTTAGACTCCATAGTGTCGGGACTAAATGACGAACCAGATCAGAAAGTGACAGCTTCAGAAATAGGTAAGAGAAATGCACCCTTCAGTTTGACTCCTCTGGTTTCGATACAAAACAGTTCCACGTCGGTAGTGCTGTTAAGAGAGACTGTACTTCAGTCTAAGTTCTTTATGATTTTGATACAAAATAATTACGTGTCAGTGTAGCCATGGATTATTTTTATTCTAAGCACTTTCTCACCATAGTTTCCTCCTATGTACTGAGGATCAGATATGACTTACCTTCCAGTTTGATTTAATTTGCTAAGTTACATGATAATTTTCTTAAGCAGGCATGAAGTAAATCTTTAAGGCCTCCCCCCGCCAATATTTCTGTTCTTTTGAGACAACATCTCATTCTATAGCCCAGGTTGGTCTCAAACTCATAGTGATCTTCCTATCTTAGATTCTGGGTTTACAGATGTGTGTCACACTTAGCTACATGCCTTTCTGTATATTACATGCACATGCTAATACATATATTTGACAGGCATGATGTATGTGCATAACATGTAAGGTGTAAGTCAAGACATTTTTCTCATCTTTTTGTTTTGTTTTTTTAAGACAGGGTTTCTTTATGTAGCCCTGGCTTTCCTGGAATTCCCTCTTATAGACCAGGCTGGCCTCAGACTCAGAGATCCACCTGCCTCTACCTCCTGAGTGCCACCACCACCCTGCCCTTGCCCATCTTGGTGCTGAAGTTCAGTGAGCTAATGTGATGGCTCCGTAGAGTTACAGTTTATATCCCCACCGGCTCTACTTTGTTTCATTCACAATTTTCTACCATTAAGGCTTTAACAGGTGGGTCAGTGAGCTGGCTCAGCAGGTAAAGATGCCTTCAGCCATTCTTGGCAACCCTAGTTTGATCCCTGAAACACACATGGTAGAACGAGAGAACTGGCCCCCATAGGTCATCCTTTGCCCTCCACATGTGTGCTGTGGCCCACACACATACACATATACATACACCATACTCTAAATGTATAAATTCTTTGAGGCCTTAAAGAGCATGTCTGCAGGCATTATTACAGTCATTACAGTTAAAGCTGGAGAGGAACAGAGTGTGCAAGGTCACACTCACTGCCAGGCACTCTAGTTTCCTGTAGCTCTAAAGCACATTGTTTAGAGCTAGAATCTTTAGACACAGAATCCTTGAATTGCACTCAACACCAATTTTGATTTTAGGAGAAGATAACATTTTTCTGGGTTTAACCTGCCTCATACCTACCAGATTTTGTACAGTTTGTTTTTCTTTTGTGTGTATTGTCTGTATATGTGCACATGTGTGCTTGTGGAGGGCAGAGGTCCACATTTGAGTATCTCCTGCTGCCTTTTCCCTCTTTTTTGACTTATTTTTATTTTTGTGTGTATTGGTGTTTTGCCTGCATGTATGTCTGTGAGGGTGTCAGATCCCCTGGAACTGGAGTCACAGACAGCTGTGAGCTGCCATGTGGGTACTGGGAATTGAACCCAGGTCCTCTGGGAGAGCAACTAGTGCTCTTAACTGTTGAGCCAGCTCTCCAGCCCCTTTATTCCTTGTTTTTGAAACAGGGTCTTCATTTCTTTCAGACTGGTTGGCCAGGAGGCTCCTGGTATTGGCCTGTCTCTATGTTCCTGGTGCTGGGATTTTGGGAATGTGCCACCCTCCTTGGCTTTTTATGTAGGTTGTAGGTATCCAGGCTCAGGCTTGCATAGTGTGCAGCAAACAGTACAATTCTAAAAATATAGATGGCTGGCTTATCTGTGCATGGGGACCTCCTGGAACTCACATCTTTAAGAGGGATGTTTGGACCATTCTGTTCCCTTATTGGTGAGAAGATGCAATGGGAAAGTCGTCTGTGGCTTCCCCAGGCCAGTCTTGGTTGGTCAGATGCAAGACTCTGAACTGGGGCAGTCAGTGTTCTTACTGACACTGTAACTCCATCTTGTAATAATGTTTATTTTGTAAAGAGCTTTTCCCATCTGTCGATGCAAAGGTGAAAGCCGGGAGGGCGTCTTTGCCTGTTGAGCTGTGACTCCTCACCCAAGACCAGTGGATAACCCCCACCTCTTCTGCTTACCCCCCTGGCTTGGAGCAAGCTGCCAGGTGGTTCCCTGAGCCATGATCTTGAGCCTTGGTGTTCCTCATTGCTTTGGGTCTGGAGAAAGCTGCTCTCAGAGTGAGATGTAATCTATTTAAGACTGACAGCTCAGCGGGACTGTTGATTTAAAATAAATCGAAGCCATTCTTAGGCTTATATTGAACAGTTTATGAATCTTTATCTACAGGTATGAAATCATAAGTTCTGTTCTTAAGAAGTGCAAACTGTACGGTTGAGAGTTCAGTAGCTCAGAGTGAAACCTGATGCCCCCTGCTAGGGTGGCGTGTTACTCCCATACTGCCCCCTAGTGGGGTGGTCAGGGTACGGCTCCTATGCTGCCCTCTGGTGGTAGGGTTGATACTGTGGATTTAGATAGCAGTGGTCAGGAGTGGAGTCCTGGTGTGGAGGTGCCCCAGAGATCTCTTCCCCAACCTGTCTGCCATTGAGTCCGGCTGCTACACAAGCCAGGAACTAGCTCTGTGCCACCTGCCTGGTTGCCATCACGGTCACTAGCTTTGTCTTCCAGCACAGTTGTTTTGGAATTGAGAATTTACCAGCAGCTGTGGATTCTCCAGTGCCTTGCATGAATATGATTTCCAGATCCAATGTCCCGATGTCAGCTGAAGGGTCCTTTCCCTGTGACAGACTTTTATTCCTAGTTCTTCAGAGAGGAACTTAGTCCAGGCTGGCTGGGGACTGAAGATCCTTCTGCTTCTGCCTGCAGGAGCTGGAATGGCAGGTATGCCAGCATGCTTGCCTGTGTTTTCAAAGAAAGTTTTCAAAGAAAGCCGCTAGCTGCTGGCTGGCCGGTTCATGCACATGACAGTTCTACTGTGGCATGCCAGAAGGGAGTGGATGGGTTTTGTTCCCATTTCGCTCCTTCAGGTGTGTTGAGCTCACCAGGAGTCTATCCATGAGCACCTGCTTCCTGCGTGCTTGCTGTAGTGCTAGCTTGCACCATGTGTGCTGGTCTCTGTAGTCGCACATTTCCTGGTTTCCTGGCGCATTAAGCCATCGTTTATTTTGCTCACTTTACCTGACTCATCATTTTGTTTCCTTGCTATTATCAAAAATACAGCAAAGTACAGCAGTGCAGCTCACCCAGTGCCTAGTGAAGTTTAAACCCTTTATGCTTGCTTTACCTTAGCTGTGGATTTTTAGGAACGGTTACAATGTACAATAAAAACATCTTGATAATTTTCTGTAAACACTTCAGGATGCAGCTCCCAAATCCAGCACGACAAAATAGACATTCTCTGACATAACAACTTTGGACAGATTTATTTTCTGATTATCATTTAAAATCCAAGCTGTGTTCTAATTTTTTAAAAATTATTTTCCACTGTTTGAAAATGTGGTTATGCAATCAGATTTAACAGCAGCCCAGCATGCTAGCTAACACCTGTGCAGAACCACTAATACAGCATTGGAGTAGTAAAAACTGTTAAGAACACCAGGGAGTGCGGCTGTAAGCCTCACTGGAGCAGAGTCCGCAGGACCAGTGGAGAGAACTGACTCCAGAAGGTCTCTGACTGCCACGTGCTTGCCCACACCCGTGGGTTACATCTCTCTCTCACCCAAATGATAAATACAATTTAAAAATCTAAAGAGGGCCAGTGGAAGCTGAGCGTAATGGTGACTGCTTGTAATCCCGTCACTTGGTGGGGGAGGCAGGAGGATCTGGAGTTCAAGGCAACCTTGGCTGCTCGTTGAGTTCAGGGGCAATGTGGGCTACATCAAGCAAACTTGTGTCATAAAAACAAAGCAAAATAACCTCACTCCAAAAACAGTAAAAGCAAACAAACAAAACCCAGCAAAACAAAACCAGTGGAGCTTGAGAAAGGTAAGATTCTAAAGTGTCTGAGCTGAGAGGTAGGATGCTGGCCTAGAACATACCAGGCGAGGCCAGGCCTGGATCCCATCACCACCCCCAAAATCAATAAACTAATAAAGGCAGACAGACAGAACAGAGCCCCGGCGCTGTGGGCTTCCCATAGACAGACAGACAGCGGTGTATTTGCACTTTTCACTGTGATGCTGGGTTTGGTAGACCAGAAATGCTGGCACTTACCAGGGCAGTGAGGCAGCTTGGCCTGAGTGGGGCTGGTGCAGTTGGCAGTCCATAGCCGCAGAGCTTGCTTGCTCTTAGGTCTTAGAATTTCATGCTCACTCTTTGGCTGTGCTCTATGAAATGTGTGTAGTTAGTTCTTGGTCACTTCATTCAGACTATTAGGGTAGTATTTTTTGTTTGTTTGTTTGTTTGTTTGTTTTGTTTTTCAAGACAGGGTTTTTCTATAGCTTTGGAGCCTATAGCTCATGTACACCAGGCTGGCCAGATTGAATGGTTTTAAGAAGTTACACAGTTGGGTTTTAGGAAGCAGACTGTTTTCAGGGGCCCTTGAGTTGATGGGTCAGTTTCAGAGTTGCGCCCGCTGCCATGCACAGTCTGCTCTCTGAGCCCCTCTCTCATCCTTTGTTTTTAATATGGGAAGTATTTACTTCACACTATGAACTTTTCCCATTTTTAAGACTTGAACATTAGTGATCAACTGACAGTATCTGGGACTCTTTAGTGTGTTGAGGGATGTGTTCCACAACACATTTGCTCTTTCTTTCTTGATGTGCTGACTGTGCCAAGCTTGGCTCTCAGGCCTGGCTGGTGGGAGCAGGTATAAGTGGTTCTAGGGTGGGGAGGTAGGGCCAGTTTGCTTGGGTGGGGCGTTCCCTGATCCCAGCTGACCTGAAATCCAGGCCATGCTCACATCCCAGAGCCGCATGTTCTCAGAAGCCACCCTTGTCATCCTTGGCATGTGGCAGGTGTGAAAACACAGATGTGCAAGTGCTAGGCAGGCCGTTAGTCTCTAGCCCTGCTGGGTGCAGTCTCGTGCCCAGCTTTGAACTCTTTGTGTCAGGATCTCAGAAGCCAATACTAACTGAACTAGTATTTCAGATGATAACTCAGCTAGTCTGTGGCGGGAGAGCGCAGAGCCAGAGCCTGCAGTAAAGCAGAAAGGTAAGAACGACCCCTTCACAGCTCTTGGTTGGAGGACACTAAGTGGCATAGAGGAAGGCAGCTGCCAGGCGCTGGTGTCCTCTCGGGACGGCCCGGGCTGAGTATACTCTGATGTGGCAAGGGAGGCGCGCCTGTCTTCCCCATAAAACAAGGTCATTGCTTGGTAGCACAAGCAGGACTGTCATGGGCCTAGTGTGAAGTGGTGGCATTTGTGACACCAACGGTGTCATGAATGGTCTCTAAAACAGGTTCCAGGGCCACTGGTCAGAGCTCTGCAGGCCACTCCTGTTCAGAGGACTTTAGACCCAAAACTGTGGCTGCTGCCTGGTCCTCTTCTGTGGTTTCCTGCAGTCGCCAGATGCACCCTTTGGAGGACTACAGGGGAATAGCCCTCGGTTTGTTCCCAAAGCCTGGGGCCTCCAGCAGGCTGGGCTTGTGCTGGGGCTGCCATGGTGGGGACAATGGTTGTCAGCTAGGTTAAATGCAGAATATTTGTCTGAGAGCAAATATATATCAGGACCAAGGCAGGAAATGCATGGGAGAGAGAGTAGGGCCACAGGAGCCACTTGTCCTGGCATTGGTACAGGAACTGAGGTGAGGCTGCGAACATGGGAAACAACTGCACAGGAAGTGATGGAAGGAGAGGGAGGGGAGAGCCTGAGGTGACCTGGGAAACAGGAGACCCTACCAGCCTTCCTGACAGGAAGTGCTGAGTTGGCTGGCCTGGTGTAGCAGAAGTATGCAAAGCAAGATGTAGACCTAGGAAGGAGAGGGTGCAGCTAGGTTCTTCCTGACTTCAGGTGGCCTTGTTAGGAAGTTAGGCTTTGGTGTGGAGCGGTGGGAGACAGTGATATTTTTGATGATTTCAAAGGCCCTGTGTTGATTTAGGCTTGGAGAGTGGGGCAGAAGTGAGCAGAGCACAGTGCAGCCTACAGGAGGTGCTGGGTCTGTGGGCATCTGAGGACCTGAGGGTCCAAGTGCCTGCTTCTGGGAGTCCCGCATGCCTGTCGCTTGTTCTGGGTCCCCACTTCTGTTTCTTACTGTCCTTCTGTCTGGAGTCCCGACTGTCTAATCCCTGACCACTTCCCACTCTGTGCTGTGACACTGGGGTCTCCTGGGGCCACAGAGGAAAGATCCTAGGTCATCTCCCCTTTTTGTGGCCCCAGGACCTCTTGTCTCCCTAAGATTACTTTGTCCAGGAACTCTGCTGTAGCGCTCATGTTCAGGTCAGATTCCAGGGGCCTTCACCCCGTGCCCACATGTGGGTCCTCACCTTGTGCCTTTGAGGACAGGACTGCTCTTGTGGAGAAGACATGTGAATGTGTATTGCTTTCCCCAGCCAAGGTGCCCCAGCCCTCACTGTGTGTGTCTTGTGTAAAGGTGTTCCTGGGTGTGACACAAGGATTATGTGCCTTCAGTTCTGTTGTCTGGTGGTGCTGGGATTGGAATCCAGGGATGTATAGTTGTTTGGCAAGCTCTGCCACCCTTCGCATCTCCAGCCCCTGTGACTTAATGGGCTATGTTTGTGCCCAGAGCGCAACACTTGAAGAGAAAGGACCCTGGGTGAAGGTGCAGTCTAGGCTGCAGGAAGCTGGTCGAGTTAGTTCATTAGGGAGGGCTGGGCTGCTGATCCTTCTGGCCCTGAGCTGTCACAGCAGCTTATTTCTCATGGCTTTGTGACTTCAGGATTTGTGTCACTTAGTTCTGTGGCACAGTTTCTTCACAGTCCCATTCTTTCTTTCCCATCTGGTTTTTTAAGACAGGGTTTCTCTGTGTAGCCCTGGCTATCCTGGAACTCACTCTAGACCAGGCTGGCACTGAACTCAGAGATCCGCCTGCCTCTGCCTCCTGAGTGGTAGGAGTAAAGGCGTGGCTATCCTGGAACTCATTCTGTAGACCAGGCTGGCACTGAACTCAGAGATCCGTCTGCCTCTGCCTCCTGAGTGGTGGGAGTAAAGGCGTGCACCACCACTGCCCAGCCACAGTCTTGTTTAATGTGCAGTGCTGTGGTTCTTCTGACCACAGCAGACTGGTGGTGAAAAAATGCTAGAGAAGTGCCCAGAGGACCCTGTCCCATGCAGGTCCCCAGTTATTGGAGGTGTATTGTCCCTGACTGCTCAGTGATTCACTGTGCTGTGCTTCCCGTACACGAAGGCTAATTTTCTGACGCTCTTCTCTTCTAGGTGACTCTCCCAGTGACGCAGGTGAGATCGGTTCTGATGCATTTGGTATTGTCATGTGTGTGTGCAGAGTCAATATGAGCTCTTATTTCTGTGCTTATAAAATGTACCAGTGAAATACTAAGGAAATATACCATATGAATTTGAATTTATGTTAATTTGCTGTGTTTTAAGTTTCAGTCTTAGATTGGGTTATACATGTTTGTTTTTTGTTTGTTTGTTTGGTTTTTCGAGACAGGGTTTCTCTGTGTATCCTTGGCTGGCTTGGAACTTGCTCTGAAGACCAGGCTGGCCTCAAATTCACAGAGATTCACCTACCTCTGTATGTTCATGTATTTTAATCTTGAAAAGGCCACATTTCAGGGTTCTTTTCAGAGTATAAAGTTTATTTCTAATGTTCATATTCTAATTTACCTTTACTTTTTTCTAAAGTATAAATTTCTTTTACTTTGAACACTAGAATAAATTCCATTGTCCTAGTAGTTTGGGCTTATAAGTTGTGGGCTTAATCTTTTTATTAAAATGAAAAATCTGTGTTTTAGCCAAGTGGTCCTGCATGCTCTTAATCTGAACACTCATGATGCAGAGGCAGGTAGAGCTCTATGAGTTTAAGGCCACCCTAGTCTATATAGAGAGAACTAGCCCCTTTGGGGTTACATGGCAAGACTTTGTCTTGTAAACAAAAACAAACCTATTTACTGACTATGAAAAGAATATAGCACCTACTATAGATAATTTAGAAATGCAGATCAGGGCAATAAAATGCAAGGCACTTGGTGACTGTGTCTTTTACAACTGAGCCTCACACGCTTCTAGGGCCCTCCAATGTGTGTGACTTTGATGTCTGTCACTACTCTGTGGTTAATTAGATGTTAGGATGAGTCCAGCGTGTGAGAGGACTGTGATTGACTGAGCGATTGACTGTCTGTCTAGTTGTGCTGATTCTTTCCTGGTATTAAGTTGTTGCCTGGATCCATCCAGCCTTTGAGTTTTACTCTTTGATTAGTTGGCCAGTTTGCATTAACAGAGCTTGTGTATGTGCGTGCCCCGGATGTCTGCATTTAGAAGTCAGACCCCTTCTGTTTGTCTTCACCACTGATGGATAAAGAGTTCATTGAAATTTTCAGTCATTTGATTGATGCCTTTTCAAATATTTATATTTGAATTAGTTGGTATTTATATTTGAGTAAATTTTTTTTGTTACTGTTGAATTCTTTTTGAATTGCTGATTGGATTGTCACCTGTTCAGAAGGAGAAGCTGGACCTGCTGGCCAAGATAAGCCCGAGGTGTCAGAGAATGCAGAAGTCCCCAGTGAACTTTCCTCCAATCTCAGGTGTGTTCTTCCCCAGTGCTTGGAATTGTGACCACTCCTAGGATGAGCTGTGGTGCTTCCAGCTGTAGCTTCTGCTGCATCCAACACTCTTGCTACACTGTAGCTTCTGCTGCACCAACACTCGTGCTACACCGTAGCTTCTGCTGCAACAACACTCGTGCTACACCGTAGCTTCTGCTGCAACAACACTCGTGCTACACCGTAGCTTCTGCTGCATCCAGCACTTGTGTGATGTCATAGTTATCTGTACACAGTAAGCGAAAACTACTTGTATAGTTTTCTTGTACCTGGGTTACATGACCGTGTTTGGAACATTGTAGCAGTTTGGGGAAGTCTCTAGTAATGGCGAATATCTGTGATGCTCTGACTGATGTCAGCCAGTCTGCAGAGTGTGTCTGACTGTCATGCTAACAGTGGCGTTGGAATGAGTACTAATGTTAACCTAGGTTTTTATTTTGTCCACTGTGAGATGATTGTGTGTTTCATGTCTTATTTTTTCCTTCCAATACTTAGAAGAATACCTCGGCCTGGGAGTGCACGACCAGCACCTCCCAGGGTCAAACGACAAGAGAGCACTGAGACCCTGGTAGGAGACAGGTGAGGCTGCCGGACTGCGGACTGCGAGGTTTTAGAGAACTTGACCCGTGTTCTCTAGTGTGTGGGCCCTGGGATGCAGGGGTCTTGGGCCTGTGCTGAGAGACTGGGTGGGGTTGTAGGAGGCTGCGCTGGGAAAACTTGCTTTAGAGGAAAGGTGGGGTTAGGTCATTGCCTTAAGCCACAGAGCAGCATGCATTCCAGACTGGCAAAAGAGAGAAGTGTGTGTGTTCATGGGCTCTTGTTGGGTTGTGTTTGTCTGACCTCTAGATAGAAGACTTTCAAAGCATAAAAAGAGAGAAGAGTTGAAGGCTTAATTGCACAAAAGTTAGAAACAAAAGGGGTCCCCAAAGCTGAACATGCCAGAAGGGTAATGGATATGGTAGCTGGGCCTAGAGAAGCTGCCCTGTGAAGAGAAGTCCTGGGTCAGTGTGGCCTGAAGAGTCACATGTGCTATCCTGTGTCTATCTTAGAGCCAATGTCAGGGAACAAGGAGTCCCAAGAGTCTTTGTGGAGCAGAAGGACCAGCAAGGCTGGGATAGAGGGCTGGGGCCGAGGGCTGGAGTGGCAGCTGGAGACTTTGGGTGGTGAAACATGGCGTTCTCCCTGTCCCCACTGTTTCCTGAATGTTTCCAGACGCCTGGGGCTGATGACAGCTGGTGGCTGAAGGGCCGCTTCTAATGTCAGTGACTCTCGTCCTGCTTAGGTCAGGAAGTGGTAAGACTGTCTCCAATGTGATCATCGACTCACAGAATTCTGACAACGAGGATGATGAGCAGTTTGTGGTGGAGGCCGCCCCTCAGCTTGCAGAAATGTCAGAAATTGAAATGGTTAGTTCACCAGAGGGTCCTGTTTTCAGTATATATAGTTAGAAATTAGGACTTCAGCTTTCGGTTTATGTAGATACAGTTTTTTCCCCTAATTTTTTAGTAAGCTGTCTTATTTCTTTAGTTTTTTTTTTTCTGGTTTACATTTGATTGATTGATTGTTTGTTTAATGACTTTGAAACTCAGCACACCTGATCTTTCTCCTTTTCTGCTCAGGTGCAGGCAGGGGACCTGGAGGATGAGGAGAAGCATGGTGAGTGCTCTCACAGAGAAGCAAGTGGCCATCCTGTGCCTAGCTGTGTTCTAGGGTGGGCATTGTTGCTGCCCACCATGCGGACCTGTAGTATGGGCTCTGGTCACAATGCAATCATGTTTTTTCTGCCCAAGAAATTAATGCCTGTATACACACATAACACACATAAATTTTCCTGAGAATTGAGTTTGCTATGTAGCCCAGGCTGCCTGGAACTCTCCATCCTCCTGCCTCAGCTCCTAAGTGCTTGAATTATAAGCATGTGCTACCATACCTAACTCAGTTTCATTTTCTATTCATATAAAATATTCCCATAGCTTTAAGGTTAAATGTACACAGCGAAATGCATTAAGAAGTAGAAGTTTGTTGTTTGTTTTCGCTGTTGTTGTTTGAGGCAGGGTCCCATTGTGTGGCTCTGGCTGGCCTAGAACTGACCGTGGGGACCGCTTTTGACCATCCTCTGCCTCTGCCTCATGATCACTGAGATTATAAGTGTTCACCGCCCCACCCAGCACTGAGGTGTAAGACCTTAGATCTTGTTCTTTCTTCCTGTACTCCCCTTAGGTGCAGGTAAAAATATGAGTATTATTTCCATTTTAAAAAAGTGTGTGTGTGTGTGTGTGTGTGTGTGTGTATGAGCTTGATAGTCTGCTGACTTTCATTCCAGCACAGAGGCCCAGTTTTGGCCTCTCTTCATAGTGGTGTGTTATATACCATGTGAGTCATACTTCATCAGCTCAGTCTCATTGAAACATATTTGGGTAAAAAAAAAAAAGCTTTTTTGTTTGTATTTTTTTGAGACAGGATTTCTCTGTGTAACAGCCATGGGTATCCAGGAACTTTGTAGACCAGGCTGACCTTGAATTTACAGAGATCCACTTGCCTCTGCCTCCAAGTGCTGCACTATCACTGCCTAGCAAAAAAACACAACAGAACACCCCCAAACACTTTTAAGTATAATATTTTATTAATTGTTTGAGAGTTTCATGAAATGTATTTTGATCAGTTGTGAGTTTGTGTATTAGCCACCGTCCACTGCACAAAGAAGCTTCCCTGATGAGGTCTGAGGGCTGATTGTGGGTAGAGACTTCTCTAATAAGGTCCGAGGGCTGATTGTGGGTAGAGACTTCCCCGATGAAGTCTGAGGGCTGATTGCGGGTGGAGATACAAATTAGAGGGCAGTTTGATGCTCTGTCCAGTTAGCAGAAGAGGAAGAATTCTCTGCTGGGACTGATGAACTTCCCAACCATCAGGGCTTGGCCAGTTTTCTTCTGTGAAATAGGTCTTCAATTCAACCAGAAAGTGGCTGTCACTTCCGTAGCATTTGTGCCAGGGTTGCCCCGTGGTGGCCCATGCCGCACTGGTCCTTGTGGCTCACAGGGTGTGCAGTCAGTCACACCGCTGATGACACTGCCCCCTGCAGCCCACATGGCACAGTAAAGCAGTATTTCCTAAGCTATTTACACCATGGAGAATTCTAAAACGACTTTAGTCTTCTTGCCTAATCTAAAAGAAACAGCAGCTCTGAGGAGCCATTAGAACTGCTCTGTTTGCAGTGGGTAGTTACATTTGGGGTGTAAATCCACATTTCTTCTTAACTTGTGGAAGAAGAAAAAAAATCTATTTATTTGTAAAACTCCTCTGTGACACTTTGTGACTAGCCTCTGCCAGCAGCAGGTGGCACTGTGTTCTCCTTTAGCGCACAATAGGAAGGCATTTTGATATGGAAAGAGAAAGGATGAGAATTCAGCCCTTTGTCCGTCTTTCCAGTGAGGTCTAAAAATAATAAGTCGCTTCTTGGGGGAATAAGTTTAGATTGAAAACTTCTGATTTTTAACAGGTGGGCTTGTGAAAAAGATCTTGGAGACGAAGAAGGATTATGAGAAACTGCAGCCGTCCAAGCCTGGCGAGAAGGTAAGGAGCAGGGCTGACCTGGGCATGTGAAAACTCCTCTAGCTATCACAGAGGTGGTGAACAGATGTGAAATCAGTGATCTTGTTCATGTGCTTAAATGCCCTCCCCCGCCCCAACAGCTGATGTCTAGAGAGCGTGGGGCTCTGCTCTGTCTGTGGGTGCTGCTGTGGACTGTCCTGCCTGTGGTGTGAGGCAGCAGCTGCGTGGGTAGGCTGTTCTGCTTCCACTCCACAGCTTCCCTTCTGGCCTGGCCTGCTCATTCTCCCTGGCAATTGTGAGGAGTGGACAGGCTGACCATTGACCCTGGTCATTGCAAATTAAGAGCTGGGGGTTTTCAGGCCTGGTTCTTACTGTGAGCTGAGTTCTATTTTTGTGTGACTCCTAGGATCTTTCTTACTGGTGTGTGTGTGTTTTAAACTGTTTATGATACAGTCCTATCTGTCATCAGCCTCCAGCAAGGTCAGAGGCGAACACATGAAAGCTCCCACAAAAGAAGGGCTAAGTCCCATTAGTAAGAGGATAGAACACTAAAATACCTTGGCTGAGTTTTGGTGCCTGCGGTGGTTTGAATGTGAATGTCCCCTGTTGTCTCTGACACGTGGACACTTGGTGCTCAGGCGATGGCACTGTTTCAGGAGGTTTAGGAGGTGCGGCCTTGCTGGAGGAAGTGTGTCACTGGGAGGCAGGCTTGGGTGGTTTAAAGACTTGTCCCATCGCTCATTTGCTCTTTCTGCTTCCTGCTTGGTGGTTCAGGATGTAAGTGCTCAGCTTCCTCCTCCTGCTGCCATGCGTTCACAGCGCCTTCATGGACTCTGGACCTTTGGGCCCAAATAAACTGTCCTTCCTTTGATAAGCTGCCCTGGCCATGGCATTTTGTCACAGCAGTGGAGAAGAAACTAGTGAAGTATGGAAGCCTTTCCCTCTCTGGAGCTTTGGGGATTTGAACTTGCTGCTGTGGCTGCCTCCCATCATCACCCTTGCCCTTTGATGTCCTCTTGTTATTGTTGTGCTTTCCCGGATATGATGTATATATTATATGTAATGACTGTCTATATTGTGGTTGCTTGCTTGGCATACATCTTGGGATCAAGCGTTGAGTCTCCATATATATAATCTTTCCAGTCTGTTACTTACCTAACTTCGTGCTAAAGAAGTCCTATTTTTCGTTGTTTAAATTGTTTTAAAAGTTCTCTGTTGTGATACAGGCTTGAGCTTTTCTCTGCACCCAGCATGCTGTATTTTCTATCAGTCCTACCTGCTGCCAGGTCTTCATGGTCTTTCTTATATCAGTTCTATCTGCTGTAAGGTAGTCAGTCATGTTACTCTTTCTTGTACCTGAAGCATCTGCTTCCCCCTCAAATGTCTGTTCAGTCCAGACTCAGTATGCGTGTGGTGATCTGGTTCCCTGCCTTGTGCAGAGCCAGCTAGTGATAGTGATAACCATCCTTCACTCGGGTATGCATCTGACACCATCGTGTTTCTCCTTGCTTTAAGCATTGTGCTTTCTGTCTGGCAAGGTCATTCCAGCTGTTCTCCTCTCCTCTCCCCTGTTTTCCGTGTTGTCTCTGCCCTTACTGAGTCTTGGGCTGGTTCATGTGGCCCTTGTAGTGAGGCTGACTTCATTGGTTCCCTGGAAAGTCTGGTCATTTAGCCAGGTGTGGGTCACATACCTTTAGCCTCAGCACTCAGGAGGCAGAAGCAGGTAGATCTCTGAGTTTAAGGTCAGATTGGTCTACAGGCTAGGTTCCAGGCCAGCCAGGTCTACACAGTGAGACCTTGTCTTAAACAAACAAACAAACAACAACAACAAAATCCAGCAGAAGTCTGGTAATTTAGATTCATTTGTGTTAGTCTCATTCTTCTGTTTGTTCATTTAGACAGGGTATTGCTGTGTAACTCAGACTGGCCTTAAACCTCAGCCTCTGCTGGAATCACTGCTCTTGCCTGCTTCTATTCACTTGTTTGGTTTTCATGTACTCGTGCCTTATGTTGATACTGGTATTTGTGTATTGCTGTGTCTGTCTCTGTACCCGACTTAAGAGATAGAGCACTGCAAATGCAGTGGGAGCACCTCGGTGCCCGCCAGCAGCCCACAGCCCACACTCGGTCCTCAGGTGCAGGATCTCCCTGCCTGAGTTTGCTGCTTCTCATCCTCCTGTGTGCTGGAACAGGCTTTAGATGTGCATTCTACGCAATGTGTAATAACTCTCCATTGAAGATTGGCGCATAAGTGGTCCCATAGTCAGTGCCTCTCCACCACTTGCTTTCTAGTCTCAACACCGTGGCAAAGCACTTACTTACCCAATCCTTAGCATGTCAGTAAAGAAAAGAAAAAGCGGTTTGTCTGTGTTTATATATTCTGGTTCATTTACTTTTTACTGCTTTACAGCATTCCAAATGCAAACCATACTCTGCAGTCCTTTATTTCCTTCTTGTGTTTTTATATTACTGCTTGGTTGTCTGTTTGATATCTTGCTGTGTGACGCTAGCTGGCTAGAACTTGCTGTGTAGACCAGGCTAGCTTCAAACTTGTACTACTGGGCCCGGCTCTGCTCTTTTCCCTTTGCTGTTAGCATCTCTGTGTACTTGTGTGTCTCTGCCTGTTCCTAAGGGTGAATCTGCCAGATGACATCACCGGCTCTCTCAACAAAGCCCCTGGGAGAACTCCACTGTCTCCTTGCTGCCTGTCTTCTTCAGGCTGAAGTGATTCCATTGCAGACCTCTGCTCGCTCCCCTTTCCCTGCCTGTCCTTCTCTAGGCCCCTGCCCTCCCATTGCTGTTCTGCCCGCTGTTTGCTCCTGCTCTGTCCTGGCCACCACTGTGTCCCTTGCTAGTCTCTTTCCTTACTGTTTTCTGAGCATTGAAATCTCAATCTTTTCATCTTTTATTCTCTCAAAGCCTTTTGATTTACTGAGTCAATTTCTTTAATAGTTGCATACATTTTTATAGTTCTTCTTAATTTTGAAGTAAGTTCAGTGAGGTCAGGAGAATTTTGTTTGGTATGTCAATGTCTGGAGGCTGAAATCCAGCTGGCAATCGCCTAGTCATCCTTCTACATGCCTAACCGAAGTTAGGCTTGGGATAATATGGCTGCCCCAACTCAATTCCTCAGAACTGCATTCCAGCCTGCAAGAAAAGATGAAGGTGAAGGCATGCCCTGCACTTTGGCATGCTTGCTGGCAGTTGGTTCATAACTGTCACAAAGAACACTAGAGAGTATTTTGGCCTCTGTTGGTTTGTTAACTACAGCCAGATTCCATAACCCTTGGTGAAGCTTGGGGCCGGTTTTTAGGCCGAAGCCTTGACAGGTACAGGGTCAGGGGAGAGAGCTGCCTAGGTGGGCTGAGGTGGTCTCCCATGTGGGCATTTATGTCAGGAAGCTTGGTGCAAAGGGAGATGAGAAATGGGGTCCTCCAGCTGTCTCTTCCGTGACATTTCCTGGGGAGCTGTTTACCCCATCTGTGTTTGCCAGGCTGTTCTGAAGTACGCGTCTCCGACTTCAGAGATACGCCTGCACTTCCAGGCCTCCTCTGCCCCCATGATGGGAGTTGCACCAGCCTGGACCCTGGAGCTGACCAGCTTCAGTTTAACAAATGCCTCTATTGTCTCGCCATTACCACCTTCCTTTTTTTCTTTTGGATTCCCTTGAATATTTAGTTTTCTAGAGCGTCATTTGTTTGTTTGTTTTGTTTATTAAGTAAACCAGGGGCTAGAAGGTGGCTTGGTAAAAGACCTTGTTGTGCAAGCATGAGGGCTGTAGTATGAATCCCACACAAACTTGTAGCCCTAGCACTATGGGAGATGGAGACAGGAGGATCACTGGGTCTTGCTGGCTGTCAGCTTAGCCAAAAAAAAAAAAAAAAACCCACAAAACAAAACAAACAAACAAACAAACCATGAGTCCGGGTTCAGGAAGAGACCATATCTCAAAAGAAATAAGGTGGAAAGTGATAGAATACACCAGACACCTTCCTATGGCTTTAAGTGAGCATAGGCGTGTGCACCTGGACTCATACGTGCATATTCATTACATAAACACAAAATCAAATCAGTACACTTTAAAAGGTAAACAGGTAAGAGACTGTACATTTTCGCATACTTTATTCTGGGGTCATTGCGAGTGCGTGTGTGCCTGCGTGCGTGTGTGTATTTGGTAGGTGAGGAGTGTGGAGGCCAAAGGTCAACAAGGGTGGCCTCAGTTGCTCTTCACCTTATTTTTTGAGGTGTCTCTCACTGAACCCAGAACTTACTGCTCTGCTGCACTGGATTGTCAGCAAGCCCCAGGAACCCTCCTGTCTCCATCTCCCCAGCATTGGTAGCACAGGCTGCACTGCGGCCTGGGTGCTAGGGACTGAACTTAAGACCTCATGTTCAGCAGTGAGCACTTTACCGTCTGAGTAAATCCTCTTCCCAGCTCCGTGCCGACACTTTCACCTAAATGTACACCCCACTCAGCTCCAGCACAAGAGCTGCCTGTTGCCTGCAGACTGTGTTCATCCCTCCTCCCTCCCCTCCATCTAAGTGCTTAGCTAAGTGCTTCTGGACCAGACTCATGAATCAGGCGTCCCTTTTGTCCTGTCACTCCTATTTCTATTATTTCTAATATTTCTGATCTGGGTATTCCTCCAGCCTGGCTTTGACGTTCATTGGAAGGAAAGAGATTTCTTGCTGTGCTAATGGACTTGAACTACATGTGATAGAATAAATACATGGATCATATTTACTATATTATTGATTTTATTATTGTATGTTTATTGTAGTAAATGCTTTATGTATTTTCCCAGTTATATGCTTGCTTCTCAAGAGGTTATACACTAGGATTACTAGCTTCCACTGGCACTTTTTCCTTAGTTAAAATTCATGAGAACTTTTTGAAAAGCAACTCAAAATTCAGTTTTCACAGTGTCCTTTCCACTCTTAACAGTTGTTGCTTCCTGAAGTTGGTAGGTGAAGGCGCTGTGCACTGTGTGAGTAGTCACAGGGTTCGCGTCTAACGCATTTGACTGTTTCTCTCTCGAGGTCTTCAGGTCTTTTTTTTTTTAATCTTGCTGCCTCTTGGCTCCTCTTTATTTCGGTTTGCTCTGATCAGATGTAAATGCTGTTCAATTTTCCTCTTGTTCAGAGGTAGCTACTGAAACATTCTTCCCATGGGTTTTGTTCTTACCGGGTTAGTTTAAAGTCCCTGTGATTTTGCTTTTTTGCCTCCTGCTCTTGTGAATCAGGTCCTGTTGGTGTCTGGTGGGATCTGGGTGTTTGTCACCTGTGACCTGCTTATATTTATTAAAAGAAAGAGATAACAACTGTCAAGAAATTATGGGTGATATCACAGAGGAGCATTTAAAACAGGGTATGGTGGCATATTCCTGTAATCCTAGGAGCTGGAGGCCAGCCGGGCTGCATGAGACTTGGTAGAAAAAAAACTGGGAAATGTAAAAACATGTTGTATCTTCAGATGCCTCTTAATGAACAAAATAACCTTCCCGTGTTATATTTTAATTTAGGTAAATAGCCTTGTTCAGTCTGTTTAACTGAGTCTCCTGTGAGGGATTTTGGTTCCTTGTTTGGTCATCTGGGCTGCTCCTCAGATTCTTACTTGGCCGCCAGGTGGCGTGGTATCATCAGCCGCATGTCAACTCCCAGGGAGCCGTTCTAGAGAATGCCCTTTTCTGAAGCTCGGTTCCAGACACAAGTGTTTTTATTTTGGCTTCGTTTACCTGTGATTCTTGTATTGCTTGAGTTGATTTCTTAGGGACATTGTTTCCATTGACATTCTGTGAGAGGGGCAGAGGGGACATACTCAGTGCTGTTTCCTCAATGACCTTAAATAGCAATAATAATAATTATAATATATTATATAATAATAATAATTTTTATATATAGTATAATAACAGCAGCTTTATTGTATAATAACTACTATTAATACATAACAATATTAATTATTATTATTTCTAGGGTTGGTTTCCTTCAGAAAACTTAAGAAGAGGTCTGTTAGTTTGGGGGAATTTGGGTTTGTTTTTTAATAGAGAGGTTTTTGTCCTTGAGTCTGTGACTGTGCACAAAACATGATCTCAGTGTCACATGGCCTGTGCGTTCTCACCTCATCAGTCTTGTCATTCAGGAGAATGAGCCTCAAGAATACGTGTGCAGGGTCCAGGTGAGCTCAGATGCCTGTTGAGTGTCTGCGGCCTTGAAGCTGAGTTGGTTCTGATTCAGAATGATACTGACATTGTTTCAAATCACAAGTCACAGCAGTTAGAAACGAGGCCGCGGTAGGCAGGGGTGTGGAGTTGATGGTACCTGTGTCTCTGTAAAGGACCAGTGCAGAGGTTGGCTGGTAAGATCCGGTTGCTGAAACAGGATCCCGGAGTGTGAGACTGATCTGTGGGTTTTCAACAATGCAATGAAAGACTTCTACTTAAAAAATCATGACTGAAATACTCTCCTAAGCTACGCTTGGTGGCACAGTCCTGTTATCCTGGCACTCAGGAGGTGGAGAAAAGGATCAGAAGTTCAAGGTTGTCCTTGGCTACATAGCAAGTTTGAGGCCAGTTGAGACCCATCTTAAAACAAAACAAAACATGAAACAACTGACCAAAGACGGACGTGCTTCCCCTGGCCCCTGCCTTCCCAGTGCATCGCTAGTCAGTTGTCTCCCACCTGTGACACTTCCTGTTCCCCAGCCCCCAGCCTCGCCTGCGTGTTCCTTCCCAGAGACTGCTCCAATTCTCCTTCCCATCTGGACCCCGCCTTGCAGGAGATCTGTTCCTGCCCACTATACAGGACCCAGTTTGCTTTCTGTTGCCCAGGATCATGGTAGCTTGTGCCGTGCTCGACTCTGCTCCTGATAGAGAGAAATGGTGCTGTAAGCGTATGGCTGTTCCGCGCTTGCTCAGCTTCTGCATCAGCAGACGTAGAGAGGCCTGCTGATTTGCATATAATGTACTTCATTTTCCCCTTAGAAGTAGTTATTACTCCTTTTAGTCATTAGTGTTTTAGTTTTAAAAGGTTTTATAGAATCATTCCCGTGTGTGTGCGCGCGCACGTGTGCATACGTGTATGCATATACATGAATATGTGCCCTGTCTGTGCAAGTGCATGTAGAGGTTAGAGGACAACCTCGGGTATCAAGTTCTTCAGGCACTGGCCACCTTAAAAAAAGTTGTTTTTTTATGTATATGGGTGTTTTGCCTTCATATATGTCTTGTGTACCATGTGTGTGTGTCTAGTGCCCATAGAAGCCAGAAGAAGGGTTTGACCCCCTGTAACTGGACTTATAGATACTGTTAGCTGCCATGTGGGTGCTGGAAATCGCACCCGGATTCCTGAAAGAGAGCCACTCCTTCTAAGCACGGAGCCGTCTGTCTAGCTTGTCTGCCTTTTCTTACGAGACAAGGTGTCTCACACACCTAGTAGGCAGGCTGGTTGGCCAGCAAGCCCACCTGCCCGTCTCCACTTCTGACTCTAGGATTACAAGCATGTACCACCATGCCTGGCTTTCCCATCTCTCTTAACAAAAGCATTTTAATTTGAGGTACCCTTGGATCTCTCTGAGCTGTGGAAAGCACTGGAAATGTGCTCTGAAGCCCCCTAGCTCGCCTTTGGGATTTCCGCCACACCCCAGTTACCGACACTAGCATAGTCAAGCTCCAGAACGTTCCTGTGACACGATCCTTCTCAGTGCCCTTTTATAACTTAACCTATTCTCTCCCGCCTTTTGTTCCAGGCTGTCACTAGTGTGCGTGCCCCCACTTTTGTCCTTCTGTCTTTTCAAGCTTGTATATATGATAGGACTCAGTTTATAGCTTAGCAGGGTTTTTCCTTTGGCATAATTCTCCAAGAGTTGTCCAGATGATCATGTGTTGTGTGTGTTTGTTGCTGTATATCTTCCATGGTATTGATATACCATAGTTTATTTAACATATGTGGGCTATTTCTAGCTTGTGACTACTTTTTGTTTGTTTGTTTGTTTTCCTTTATTTTTATCTTTATTGTGACAGATCTCAAGCTGACCTCAAACTGGCTTTGTAGCTGAGGATAACTTTGACCTTCTGATCCTCCTGGTTCTACCTTCCAAGTTCTGGAATTACAAGCATATGGCACTGTGTCCAGCTTGTAACTAGCTTGAATAAAATGTCTATGTTTATACATAGTTTTTTTTTTTTCCCGAGACAGTTTCTCTGTGTAGCCCTGGCTGTTCTGGAGCTCACTCTGTAGACCAGGCTGGCCTTGAGCTCTCAGAGATTCGCCTGCCTCTGCCTCCCGAATACTGAGATTAAAGGTGTGTGCCACCTCTGCCCTGCTATGTATAGATTTTATTGTGAATGTAAGTTTAATTTCTTCTGAGTAAATGTTTGGATGTTCCTTTGCTAGACTGTCTGTGCATTAATCGCCTCTCTGTCACTGTGACACAATACCTGAGGAAAACAACTTCAGGGGAGAGAGTTGTGCTTTGGTTTGCAGCTTCTGGGGCTTCCACCTGTGCTGAGTCAGCTCCATTGCTGTGGGGGGGGGCACGGCGAGGCTGAGCATCATGGTGGAGAGGGTGTGCTGGCAGCAGAGCACAGCTACTCACCCCTGCAGCTGAGGAGCAGAGGGAGCAGAGATGGCAGGAGCAAGCTGCACTCTCAAAGGCAGCTCCCGGTTCTGGCTTCCTCCAGCCAGGCCCCACCTCGTGTAACTGTGAAGTTCTCAAGGGTGAAGAGAGACCCTCTGTTACCCAGTCACCTTTCAAAGGCCCCTTTGTTATTCAAGCTGTAGCCAGGGATAGCCTTTAAAGACATCCCAGACTGCCTCACCAGCAATCACTAGAGACCCAGTTTCTTCTTCCTGCACCTGGCATTGTGTTTCGAGCCGCTGGTGTTCTTAGACACACTTTCAGGGCTTACTGCTGGCCACGTGTCACCTCCAATGAACCCTCTGTCTCTTGTTCCTCTTCATGTTGGTTTATCTACTCGCTGCCACTGACTTTTGTGAGCTCTCTGTGCTCGCTGACTGTCCGTGTCTTCTCTGTACAGGGTGATTTGTGCATGCGTCCTCCACTTGTCTTTCCAGCTTCTCGAGGAATCCGCAGAGTACACACTTTAGTTTCTGATAAGTTCTGGTCCTCGGGTTTTCCTTCTGCCTCCTCTAACTTGCCTAGCTCACTCCTAAAGACTTTATCTTCCTGCTTCCCCTAACTGAAGGAGCGCTCACTGATCTTTGAGTCAGCCTGGAAGAAGGAGAAGGACATTGTGTCGAAGGAGATAGAGAAGCTCCGCGTGTCCATCCAGACCCTGTGTAAGAGCGCACTGCCCCTGGGGAAGATCATGGACTACATCCAGGAGGACGTCGATGCCATGCAGAACGAGCTGCAGCTGTGGCACAGCGAGAACAGGCAGCATGCCGAGGCCCTGAGCAAGGAGCAGAGGTAGGGGCTGCAGGAGGAGGGGAGGGGGTGAGGGTTGCAGGAGGGGAGAGGTGAGGGCTGCAGGAGGGGAGGGGGGCTGCAGGAGCGGAGAGGGAGGTAAGGGCTATGAGTGAGATACTGATGAGCTCGTTCAGAATTGTAACTAAAGAAATAGACTAGCCACTGAGAAGTGAGATTTATTTAGAGAGCTGTTTTATTTAGAGCAGATTTCTTTAGAAAGGTGTCCTGTGTTTGTAGTCAGTAATCTAGAAGCATATGGTTTAATGTGTGACCCTTTTTTTCCCAGAACATATGTTATGACTGAATGATAAATTTGTAAATTCATGTTACGAAAAAGCTGAGTTAGAATTGGTTCCCCTCCCTCCTTTTTTTTTTTTTTTTGTTTGTTTGTTTGCTTTTTGAGACAGGGTCTCACAGTGTAGCATGGATGGCCTAGACTTCACTGTGTAGACCAGGCTGGCCTTGAACTCACAGAGATCACCCGCCTCTGAGCACTGTGATTGAAGATGTGTACTGCCATGCCAAAATGAAACTGTACTGTCTTTTCTTTTTTCATTTTTTAGAAATTAATTTCAACAGCCGGGCGGTCGGTGGTGGCACATGCCTTTAATCCCAGCACTAGGGAGGCAGAGGCAGGCGGATCTCTGTAAGTTCGAGGCCAGCCTGGTCTACAAGAGCTAGTTCCAGGACAGGCTCTAAAGCTACAGTGAAACCCTGTCTCGAAAAATAAAAAAAAAAGAAAGAAATTAATTTCATAGTAGAATTACACATCACTTTTATCACGTTTCCTATTTTCTTTCCTCCAGCCCATCCTAAGTATCCCTCCAGCGCCTCTGATGCCCCCACTCTCAAATGGATAGCCTTTTCTTTTTGATTGTATATATATATATCTGTGTGTACACAAATACATAAACACTCCTGCTAAGTCTGCTTTTATTGTGTGCAATAAAAGTTTCAGGACTGACCGCTTTGTATTTGTATTTGACAACCAGTATGGGGGTTCTTTCTTACTATTATGTTTAGTCCCATGAATTTTTAAGTATGCAACATGATGAAATCTAAAAAATCACCGAGACCACTAGTGCTGATTCAAGTGTCAGCCCTGAGAGCCTTGCTTGTAAAACCTGACCCTGCTCTACTGCAGCAAAGGGCTGTTACAGGCTTTAGCAGCCTGCAGGGAAAGATTACGTTTGACTCCAGCATTCTGAGGCATAGTCTGGGCCTGTTTCAGTGCTCTGCCCAACAGTGAAGAGGTCACCTGTCCCTGCTTAACAAATAGTGCATGGGCAGGGGAGCCCCTCTAAGTCCTGTTAGCCTTATCCAGAGGAGAAGTGTCTCCTGGCTGGTCCAGGCTGGGTCCCACTGTCTGTGGGGACTCGGTAGCCCACTTTCCTGTTGCCCCTCGCTCCTTTTTGTGTGTATACTTTGAGGACTTCAAACCTGTCACTGAGGAAATATTAGTTCCTTCTCATCTTACTTTTAAAGGGAATCTCACGTGGGCTGGGGAAGCAGCTCTCTGGTAGAGTGCCTCATCAGCATAAAGCCCTGGGCTCTCCTGGTTTTGTGGGAAGTTAAGAAGCTTGGCATTCTCAGGTTTGCTTGCACTGTAGGCCTGCCGGTTGTGAGTGGTGCTTGGCACCATTCTTAGGGGTCTGACACTTAACTCTTGGCTTTTGGATTGGAGGAAGTGTCACAGACAGAACCCTCAGGACACTGATTAGCCGCTCGTTGTCTCCCCCCACCCCCCAGCATCACAGACAGTGCAGTGGAACCCCTGAAGGCCGAGCTGTCTGAGCTGGAGCAGCAGATCAAAGACCAGCAGGACAAGATCTGTGCCATTAAGGCCAACATCCTAAAGAACGAGGAGAAGATCCAGAAAATGGTGCATAGTATCAACCTGACGTCTCGAAGGTGAACGGCCAGCCCTGCAGAGATGGAGCCCCCATTCTCATGATGGGAGAAAAGGCAGGAAACTGTCACTCTGAGTCCCAGTCTGTTGAGAAAATGGACTGCAGATGCCTGGACCCAGCTAGCTACAGAACTTTGGGTTTAGGCGCTAAAGTTATTAAAAGGCCGCGTTTTCTTACCTCCTTCCAGCTGCAGTGCTCGCTACTTTAGTCTTCAGCTCACCTTTGTGGGAGGGCTTGTTTCTTTGTTCTTTGGCAAATATGTTTTCTGCTGAAGCCTGTTTAATCCTGCCCCCGAATTTTCTAGCAGGTAAGTTGTGTCACCCCACTGGGGAAATGGCAGGCCTTTATTTCTGCTTTTGAGTCTCCCAGGAGGACTTCCTACCAGCACTGAGCAAAGAGTGATTGTGTACTTTTTGGTGGGTACTTAAAAATAGAACGAGGCTTGAGATGATTAAGTTACATTTTGATTTCTACCTGAAAGGGGTCATTTCAGCCTGTGTCCTTGTAAGGTGCCTGTCATCTGTGTGAGATTGCTGCCCTCTTACTATTGCCCGTGCTTCGGGGCAGTCTCCTCATGGCCCTCTGTCTGCTTTTCTTGACCCTTGAAGTTCAGATGCCGAAAGAGAATTCAGTCTGGCCTTTATGGACGTTGTCTGATGGGAAACTGTCCCAGGCCGCCTCCTTGGCTTTCTTCAGCCTCTAGGGTACTCCCCATGGATAAGCAGTCCCCCAGTCCCCCAGACCTTGTAGCATGAAGGACAGCACAGTTCTTTTCCTCCATGTAGGTGTGTGCACCGAGAGCTGGGAGTGCAGAGAGACTAAGGAAGAGAGTACACCAACTTAGAGTTTGTGTTGTTTTCCTTTTTTAAAGGTGCATAGATTATTTTTTTATGGTTTATATTCAGTTTTTCGCCTACATAAAGTACTGTAAATACTTCTTAAGGTCTTGAATTATTGTACAAAGTGTCTCACTGTCTTTGGAGGTTCTTACCGGCTTAAGGTCTGAGATGCCCCTCATGTTTCTGAGTATTTATTATGTTCACCAAGGCGAGCCCTGGTAAGTGTGAAGACTGCCTGAGCACATTTTGTTTCCTAAAGACTTGCACACACGGCACAGCTAGTGTTTCTCAGTCAGTGGAAGGCAGCAGCCGAGTTCTCAACTGGGGGCCATCGGGACAGTATGTAGACTCCCTTTAGCTGGTAGGAGTTCTCCTTGCTGAAGCACACCACACTACTCTGCCAACCAGATGCTTCTGAATAGTTGGAGGGGGAGGGAAGGATTGTTTGTCAATAGTCTTTTGTATTTCATAATCTCTTTTCTAATAAATTGAATGACTTAGCCATAACCCTAAGTGAACCCTATGCAGCCCAAGTTAAGATATATATAAAAACCTTTTTTGAATTTGTATATATGAATAGAATTTTTATGTTACAAAATTATATACACTGTATGTGAGTAAATTTTATATTCTGTAGTCCGTCAGATTGTATTATAAAGTTTTATTTTTCTTTTATACATAAATCATTAAAATAATCACCTATTTTTCCTATAAGTGTACAGATTGTCAAGTTGATGCAAAAAAGATTGCAAGCTTTTGGATTTTTAATATTCAGATGTGTTCAGGGGAAATAACTTCTCATCCATACTGGGACACACTGCTTTTCCTGTAGTGACTGACACTTTATGATCCCGCTCATCCTCTGCTAGAAGGTTAAAAGATCACTTGTGACATTTCTGAAGGCCTGTGTGTGTGACTGTCTGTCTTGAGATATACAAATTAAGCCCTGATCTTATTTTGAGAGAGTACAGAAGTGGAATCCCTAGTTGTTTCTGTCCTGTGGTTCGTAAGTTTTCTAGAAGTGTGGAGTCACACGTTAGGCCTCATTTCTTTTTTTTTTAAAATATTTATTTATTTATTATGTATACAATATTCTGTCTGTATGTATGTCTGCAGGCCAGAGAGGGCACCAGACTTCATTCCAGATGGTTGTGAGCCACCATGTGGTTGCTGGGAATTGAACTCAGGACCTTTGGAAGAGCAGGCAATGCTCTTAACCACTGAGCCATCTCTCCAGCCCGAGTCACACGTTAGGGACTTGAAGTTACAGACTCAGCCGATGCTAATCTGGGCTTAGAGGAAGTGTGTGGAAATAGCCTGGGTGCAGTGGGTAAAGTGTTCACTGTGCAAGTGTGAGGACCTGAGTCGGGACCCCAGACCCACGTAAAACAGCCAGATGTGGTAACTCGCATCTGCAGTCCCAGGGCTCCTCCAGCAGGATGGGAGATGGAGACAGGGAAGCCCCAGGGGCTGGACAAGCCTGGTCTCTGCAGCAGCAAACAAGCCCCTGCCTCAGATGAGGTGGAAGGTGAGGCCTGAGTTCCCTTCTGCACGTGCACTCATACACAGACCCAGACACACAGTTGAAGCAGAGCTCAGGGCTAAACCTTTGGACTTGTTTTCCTCTCAGTGGTCAACTTTACAAAAAGTAGTAGTGAAGTAATGTGAAGACAGAGTCACCCTCCCTGTTGTGCCTGGAGTGCCAGTGAGAGTTTGGGGTGGGCAGGCGTCCAGTTAGTGTTGACAAAGGATTTGGTGATCTTCCCTTGCTTTTCCAAGCTGCCCGAACTAGCCAAGTTCACCCTCTATTTTTTTTTAACTTTTTTTTTAATGTTTATTTATTTATTATGTATACAAGATTCTGTCTGTGTGTATGTCTACAGGCCAGAAGAGGGCACCAGACCTCATTACAGATGGTTGTGAGCCACCATGTGGTTGCCAGGAATTGAACTCAGGACCTTTGGAAGAGCAGGCAATGCTCTTAGCCACTGAGCCGTCTCTCCAGCCCCCTCACCCTCTATTTTTGATGGACACAAATAAGCAGAGAAACTCTTTAGTTGCGGGTTTTAAGCATTAAGTTGGTTCGCGTAATTTGAAAGCATCCTGGAAGTGCTCCACGTAGGCCCTGCGGCCTGCAATGCTGTGCACAGACGCGTTTCTTCTGGGATCCTCACAGCTGCTGCTCCCCAACCCTCTCAGAGCCTCAGAGGGGCCAGTCGCAACAGGCTGCTCCTCCAAGAGAGCTCTCCTGTTGCCTCTAAAACTCAAGACCTCTTCATTCCTTTATTTTAAACCTGTCAAGACATCCATCTTGCTGATAAAATACTTGGACTTCTAAGTCATAGGAAGGTTACAATGTCTGCAGAGCAAAGAGGCCTCTGGAGAGAGTGGGCAGGGCTCCAGTCACCTCCAGACCCTGCTTGCTTGTTACTTTCTGGACCAAGTATGAATCAAAATTTGAATTTTCCTTCCTTCTGTCTGTTGTTTGTGATTACTGGTCTGTCTGTCCTCTGATCTGTTGTGTGTGTCATCTGTCTTTCTGATGGGTTATGCCTGTCCCTAACAAAGGGCCTTGCTTGGCATTTATTGAGAAAAGGTATTGCTGCAGAGTTGAAGAAGGTACTTTTTACATTGTATATGGTATTCTAGCAGTTTCCATTCCGAGGATCAGTCAGGTATCTAATCTGTAAAACTATGTAAACTCTTAACTTCTGGACATCTCTTTTCTAACTATATCTTGATCCTTCCCCACCCCTACATACACACACTGTGACATCAGAAACATTTTGTGTAACAGAGAGAAAATTTTGTACAGATAAATGAAGCATTAAGCTCATGACAAGGGCTGGAGAGATGGCTCAGGGGTTAAGAGCATCTGCTACTCTTACAGAGGACCTGGGTGCAGGTCCATGGTGACTTAGAACCATCAGTAACTCCTGCTCCAGGGGCTCCATTGTCTTCTGAACTCCCTGGGCACACACATATACAAACATCCATGAACATAAAATAAGTCTAAAAACATTAAACTGATGATAAAAAGGAAAGCAAGGAGTGTACCTATATACCAAGGTCACAATTTTATGTTTGTGAGTAAGGACATGGGCAACGTGGATTATTTACGTACGTGTGGTGTGGTGTGCTCATGCACGTGTGTGTGGTATATGCATGTGTGTGCATGTGTTCATGCCTGTGTGCAGAGGCCAGAGAAGGATGCTCCACACCCTTTCTTACCCTTTAATAAGAGTCTCACTGAACTTGGAATTCCTTTTTTTTTTCCAGCTAGGCTGGCTGGCCAGGAAGACAGTGATCCTCCAGTCGTGTCCCTTTCCCTCCCCCCAGCACTGGTGCTATAGTCCTGTGTGGCTGTGGCTGTGCCACTTCTTATGTGGTTGCTGGGATCCAGACTCGACCCTTCGTGCTGGTACAACAGGCCCTCTGCCCTGTGAGCTGTCTCCTCAGCGTCTGAAAGTGGGCCTGGATAGGACTGAAGTAACTGGGGGGCTTCGTTTTGTTTAAAAATTCCCTCCATGCTCTCGGGTTCAGCATCTATCGGTGCAGATTGAGTGCTTGGATGTTAGGCCTGTCCTGGAAGCCGGAGGGCCAAAGATCCAGGAAGTTACAAAGAATGGTTCGTATTGGTGATGTAAAAAAAAGAGAAGTGGCATATGGAGACATGTTAATATAACATTGACATGTGTGTGTTCTAGAATTCAAGAGTTACTTCCCAACAGCAGTTGGGGAGGTGGCCAGCTTTCAGGGATCTCAGTGAGGATGGGTCCCTGAAAAAGAGTTGAGGTTGTGACTCCAGTATTACTAAGAAAATAGGATTCCATCTCAAACCTGTCTTTGTTGTCCTTGTCCTACTAACCGGGAGGGGGTCTCACCTAGGAGGACAACAGTGCCCAGCATGCAGCCGTGAAAGCATAGCCCCCTTCGTTCTCCTAAGAATAGGTCTGAATTACTGAGTGCCGAACTGAGTCTTCTCAGGGGCAAAGAGCAAAGGGCACAGTGGCCCCAGACACCACCCCCTCTGGGCTGTCAGCAGGCTGTTCTGGGTCCCCTGTCTTTTGCCCTTAAGCTGGGATTTAAACTAAACAGGTTTCCTATAGGAAATGCACACACAACCACACTCTGCTAAAGCTGCTTTTATGGACATTTCCCCTCAGAAATATTTCTCTCTGGAAAAATAAATTCACAGGATGTAATTAAAGCCATTATGTGTGTATGTTGGCCGAGCCTGTTCGTAAGTGCTTCACCAAACAGGCCACCAAATCAAGATGTGAAGGTGGGTTTTGTTTCTGTCTATCAACAATGATATTTATTAATTGCAGTGCAGGGCCTTTAGAGCCTTTATGGCTTCAGAAATAGCCTTCTGCTGGGTCCCTGCCCAAGGTAGTGCCGTTGATTCTGACCCTGGTGTGGCCTCTGCAGGAGCCTCAGCTTCCACAACAGCCCCGCTTTGTGCTGTGGCCTTTGGTTTGGGGCCCAGGTGGAAATAAATTCTAAGCACGAGAATAATTAACTTGTGAAAGAAAAAGTCCCCCAAATGGAGCTTGTGGGTAGCACAGCTAAGAGCAGTTACACGCTGTGACTTCTTTGTCTTCTGTTTTCCGAGTCCTTTAGGGGAGCCTTTCGTACACCACACATCCTGGCTGGGGATCCAGCTGGACTTGCTCCTGGTCCACAAGGGAAACCAGAGACAGTGTGGGTGTGTGATGAGAAGCGCTCCTATAGTTGCTGAGTGAGGAACCGGGTGGCCCACTGGTGAGGCCACAGAGCAGTCTTTCAGTTTTTGAGTTGGTGGCAAGATGGTACTTTATGGGAGCACGTGACAGAGCAAAACCATTCACTGCATGGGCAGGGAAGTAAAAGAGAATGAGGAAGGTCTGGGTCCCACAGTCCCACAGTCTGATGGTACATTCCCAGTCACCCCAGTTTCTGACATTTGGCTCCTCCTAAGGCTTCCACAACTTCTAATACCACGGACTGGGGACCAGGCCTGTAATATCTGTGTCTTTTGGGAATAAACTGTCCTAGGAGTCTACGCTACTCCGAGTGGCTTCTTTCTGAGGTTCTTCACTGACGTTTGCAATGACCTTTGTGTAGCTGACTTGCATTCACAGGGGCCAGTTCTCTTGGAGGTCACTATTCGACGCTTTACTCTGGTCCATTGTCCCTGCATTTCTGGATCTTGTTGGCTCTGGCTGTTGAGGGACATTGATCCACTTGTCCTCATAAACCCAGGCAAGTTCCCATGAGAGAAACACACACTCATTCCAGTAGAGGGAGAAATGAATGTCTGCAGGAGATAGCTTCTCGGGCAGCTGTGAGGTGAGGTGAGGTGAGGTAAATGCTAGGGGTCACACAGGTAGAGCAGGCCTGGAGTCCAGGGCCCTGATGGGCAGATGGGACACCTGGTGAACTGGAGCAAGCTCCTGGGATGGTGTAAGGAGGCAAAGAAGCAAGTCCGTGTGTTCTTTGGGAGGTAGAGGGTGGGGTAAGTAGCTGGACTTGCCTAACAAAGGGTCCCAGATGTTTGCCTAAGGGGCACAAGGCTGGCCTTCAGGGGTCGTTAGCAGATTTATGAGTCCAGCTGACAGAAGCCAGGCTTTATGGGAGGAAAATATTACCTGGCAGTGAGGACCGCATAGCGAAGGGCAGAGTCCAGGGTGTGGAGGGGCTGCAGCCCCAGCCTACCCTGCTGTGAAACTGCAGTCCTGTGTTCTGGAGCCCCCCTGTCCTGAATTCACTTCCTGATCTGGGCTGGGAGGCACTCTCGGATGCTCTGTGTCTGAGTTCCTGGTTCTCTCCCACTTCTGGCTGAGGTTTCTTTAGCTCTAAATTGCCCACGGTTCCAGCACCCGAGGCATCTTACGTAGGCAAGTGCTGTCTCCGCACCCCTGCCTCCAGCAGCTCATGGAGCACTTCCAGACTCTGCTCAGGTGAAGCCAGGATTCGTCGCTGCAGGAAAGAATTGCAGTGTAGGACAAAGCCAATGTCGTGTTTACTTAGAAAAAGCGTTCACAAATATTGAAGCATGGGAGTTAAGAGAGACGACAGTTAGGATGGAGCAGTGGCTAAGTGGAGAGGAGTGCTTGCCACCTTTTCAGGGGACCTGTAACTCCAGCTCCAAGGGAAGCAATACCGGAACCTCTTCTGGCTTCCTTGGGCACTGCATGTATATAGTATATACAAATAACTTTTTTTTTTTTCAAAAGAAAAGTAAGGACAATGGTCACACTCTGGAGTGGGCACAGGTTTCTCAAAAGGGTGTTGCATTCAAGGGCCCAACTGTGGACAGATTTTGGTTTTTGAAATTAAATTGTTCAAAAGGTTTAAATTGTAACATGGACGGGCCTGTCTTGTTTGTTGTTGGGGTCTTTGTCCTCCCACCAGGTACCCCTCAACTGTTTATCCCCAAAGAAAAATCACACATAGATCTCTGTAAGTTATAAAGCTGATTGGCCCATTAGCTCTAGCCTCTCACTGGCTAACTCTCACATCTTGATTAACCCATTTTTCTGATCTATGTTAGCCATGTGGGGCAGATCACATCCTAAGCTGGTCTGGACAGGAGTGGGAGGAATCAACTTCTTCCTTCCCAGAATTCTTCTGTTCTCCTTACATCATTTCTACTTCCTGTCTGGTTTTCCCTCCTATACTTCCTGCCTTGCCAATCAGCGTTTATTTGAAACATGATTGACAGAATACAAACAATTCTCCCGCACCATTAAATATGAAGTAAGCACGTTTTAGCTGGGTTGGTGACTCATACCTATAATCTCAGCACTTGAGGGACAAGGCAGATTTGCCATGAGCTGGAGACCATCAGAAAGAAGGGAGGGGAGAGGAGGGAAAGAGGGAGAGGTTTTGAATTGACTGATTTCACGGACTTCTATGCTGGGGCCCGAAGCCCTGGTGGCAGGGGGACAGTTGTGGATGTCTCCCATTGGCTGCTGTATGTACGCGTGCACATTCCCTGGCTTTGCTCATCTTTCCTAACATCTGGAACAGTGCTACAGGCAAGGGCAGAGAGGAGCTGAGAATTTTTCTCTTTCCACATTTTGCCCGTTCCTGTCTCTTCAGGAAAGCAGTGAGCAATGAGCCTCTGGTTCAGGTAACAGAGGACCTGATCACTCAGCTTTGGAGCTGTGACATCGGCTACAGGGCCCCCACCTTTGAAGGCATAGAATTGCTGTGATTGAGGACCTAGCTTTCAAAGGCTGGGACCATAAGGCTCTAGTTACTGGGGCTTGAGCTGTAAGCTCTGAGGTTTGGGAGTCTGGCATGTGAATTTCGGGTATGCAGGGCTGTCAGCACCGAGGGAGCTACCCTCTGTGATTTTTATTCAAATGGAGTAAAATGACCCTGAGCCAAGTGTTATGAAAGGAACATACATAAGGGCTGCCCATAAAGTTCTGAGATTTTCTATATCCTCTGGTACATGACACTCGTGGAATTTGGGGTCACTTCCCAAATTTGGGTTACATCCAATGAAGTAGCACTTCCCACCAGCTACAGTGCCAGGGATAGAACTGATCTGTGGAGGAAGTGCCCCATTTGGGGTCCACCAGCAGGATGTGGACTCTGCCTCCCGGTGCTTCACAAGTTGGCTCTAGGGCTTGGGTAGCAATGTCTGTTGAGCAAGCAGGGACAGGAAAAGAAGTTCTGGACTCATGGTGAAACCTGAAGAATCTTTCCACCTCCACCAAGGATGGAGTTCCAAACATGCTGCTTCAGAAGAGAATAGTTGATGTGCCCAACACTGCCCAGGGCTCAGGACCAGGAGAAATGTCCATTTCAGGCCCCCATTGATTCAATCTATTGCCTAGTTCTCATGTTACAGGGCAGGAGCCGTGGAGGGTCAGCACACCTGATTGGGGGGCAGCATCCTTCCCTATATGCAACTGGGGGACTCAGCCTGATGTCCCTGCTGTGTTTTGGGGAAGCCCTTTACCTGCCTGCAGTGGGAAAGGGCTGAGGTGGGAGGAGGGGCTCCTTGCTGGATTCCTTTCTGGGTAGGTCTTCTGAGCTCAGAAAACCTGGGAGAACTGGGATTTTGTATGGGTGGTCTTTGAGAAAAGGCTTAACCCTGTTAGCTGTAGGCTCTGAGGTCTTGGGCACAGCTACAGCACTAATCAGGTTCCTGACCTTGGGGTTCTGACTTTGGGGGTGATGGTAATGTGTGGGTCAATGAGAATGTGCCCTTCCATTTGCCTTACCCCAGGTACGAAGAGTGCTGCCACGTGTTGGGTGTGATAGACCACCTTACTTCAAGCAGCAAGGGCTGCTAATCTATAAGAGCAGCCCCAGGGGAGCAGTAGAGGCAGGTGAGGGGCATGGTGGTGTGAGAGGAAGGCTCTGCTCAAGTCGCATCACCTCCATGCAAAGGCTGGGAAAAAAAGAGGGCAGCTCCTTGGGACAAGGGAAGGTGACACAGCTGAAATCAACTGCATGCTAGAAACTCTGACAACCTGACCCAGGCAAGATGCACCTCTTATGTTATTTAATAATTTTTATACAATGTATTTTGGTCATATTCTTTCCCCTCCCCAACTTCCCAGATTCTCCCACTGACCCAACTTCATATTCTCATTCTCTCTCTCTCTCTCTCTCTCTCTCTCTCTCTCTCTCTCTCTCTCTCTCTCTCACACACACACACACACACACACACACACACACACATTAAGCCAAAACAACAACAAAAAAGGACACAAAAACATACAGTCCCAGCGTCTCTTTAATGCCTTTAATCCCAGCAGTTGGGAGGCAGAGGCAGGCTGATTTCTGTGAGTTCAAAGCCAGCCTGGTCTACTGAAGAAATTAGCCATTTTAACCTTTTTAAAGTCATAAGCAAACATAATATAACCAACCTCAGGCCTTTTTAATCTTTCCAAACTGGTATTGTTCCCATTAAAATACTAACCTCAGGGATTGGAGAGAGGACTCAGAGGTGGAGCAGAGTACAGTTTCCGGCACTGGCTCACAACTGCCTGTAACTCCAGCTCCAGGCTGCCTAACCCCCTCTTCTGGCCTGAAGGCAACCTGCACACAAATGCTGAGAGCACACACACGCACTCACACACACACACACACACACACACACACACACACACACACTGAATAAAGAGAAAAATCGATCTCGCCAGGTATGGTGGTTGGTGTACTTTCCCAGCACCAAGGAAGCAGAGGCAGGTTGATCTCTAAGAGTTCAAGGCCAGACTGGTCTACCTAGTAAGCTCCAGGCCAGCCAAGGGCTACAGAGCAAGACCCTCTCTCCATGCACTGCCCCCACTCTTTAAAAAGTTTTCGCTTTGATGGCTGGAGAGATGGTCATAGGAATAGAGCACTGGCTGCTCTTCCAGAGGTCCTGAGTTCAATTCCCAACAAGGCTCACAACCATCTGTAATGAGATCTGGTGTCCTCTTCTGTACTGTAGGATACATGAAGAAGAAACCTATATACATAATAAATAAAAATCTAAAAAAAAAGTTTTTGCTTTCCCTTCCTCCTGGTGTAGGGTAGAGAGGGAAATTATGGAGTTGTGAGGACGTGGAGCCCCCTCATCCAGGAATTTGGTTGAAGCCTCTTGCCTACAGAGAAGCAGGAATTTCGGCCCAATTACTGGCTCCAGGTCTTCCCTCCTCCCCAGCAATAAATCTGCAGTTTTCTAGAACTCTCACAAGAAACTTTATTTACGGAAAAGGACATATACAAAACTCCGTATGCAACCAGTGGCTCCTGGTTTTACCTTTTCAGATTATAATTCCATCCAAGGCACGTCTGAAGCCACCCTACAATCTCATACATACACACACATATATAGTTTTTGGAGCAACCCTTTGAGATCTAAGTTGAGAGCCATCAAAATGGTGTATGTAGTTAGTGCTAAGGTTTGGGACTCCCTTGAGCTACACTTGGGTACGTCTTAATACTCTCTTCTAAGTCTTGTGGGTAAATCTATGTTAAAATATCTTGAATAAAACCTCAGATTTGCTTTTACTAGTTCTAGAATTCTTGTCTGAGTCAAAGCCATGAATCCAGTTTGGCCTGAGTTGCAGTCTCTAAGAGAAAAAAGGGACATTCTCTGGCTCGGGTGACAGCAAGGAGTTTTATCTGTTCCCTTACCACAGGAACTCCCTCTTCTAGCCACAACCTGGTATCCACTATTCCGTTTCTGTTTCTACTAAGTTGATTCCTTTAGTGACCTCCTACGAGTGCCCGATTTCTTCTTTATAGGTGGCTTATTTTACTGGGCACAGTGTTCTCCAAGGTTGTCCATACTGTAGCCCGGGACAGAGACTTTTTAAGGCTGTGTGGATAGTCCACAGGGCCACATTTTGATGTGTATTTATCCGTCCGTGCACATCTGGGTGGTTTTACACTGGAGACATCCGAGCTGGAGATTTGCGGTTGTGGAGTAGAGCGGTAAGGCTGGGCCATCTGGCTCTCTTCCCTGCAGCGTCACTGGTGTCACCTGTATCTCATGCCAGCGTCTGCTGTTATCAAGTCCAAACACCACCGCAGGAATCTCTTCTCTTTCCCTTCAACACCCTCAAAGCCTGTGGCTCCAGGCTGCCCCACCCAGCTCTACAGACCTGGGTAGCTGAGCCAGCCTGGGCGTGAGGATATGTGGGGGTATTTATGGGTTACTAGCTCTCAGCTGGTGTGCCATGACCACACAAAGATGCAAACGAGTCACAGCCACCGTGACTCTCGTCCATCTCAACGCACGGCGGGGCACTTCTGTCTCCTTAAGGCGCTGCCTTCCCGGCTCCCTGGAGTCCTTCCCCTGCAAGAGACTTTCGCTAAGTCGCGAGGGAGAGAACGGAAGGACCCGATGGCGTCCATGCTTAAGAGCTGTTCAGAACGCGACGCCCACGGTGCGACCGGGGTAAAATCGAGAGTGCTTGGGGAAAGTCACTCGGTCAACACGCCTCGCCAGGCTACAAGCACTGCTGGCTCCATGGAGACATTCTGGGCTGCACTCGACTTACACAACTTTACAAGTCACCGACTCGGAAGGCACCGTCGGGAGCCGCACCGCAAGGACCGGTGCCAGGCGCTGCCCTGAGTCTACACGACCTTCAGCCGCCGCTGGAGGCCAAGAACGTTCTGTTCGGCCGCAGCGGCCACGCCCACGTCCCGCCTTTTCTCCGTGGGTGGGGACAGACTCTGCCAATCAGAAGTTCCTGAAACATGCAAATAAACCTCCGCCCCCGGGGAAAGGCGTTTCCCTAGACTTGCAGCTTCCTTCGCAGACGCCGCAACACAGTTTTGTCTTCACCCAGCACAGCGCTCTAGTCCGTTAGCTAGGCCGGAAGTGGAGACCCGAGCGCCCCACTGGCGGAGCCGGAAGTGCGCTAGCGAGGCGCGTACTGGCCGGAAGCCGAGCCCCGGACACGCCCACCTGCCGGTGGCGTCGCAGGTGTACCTCAGACAGCTTTGCTCTTTGACGGCGTCGCCGAGGAGGCGGCCGGACCACCGTGGGGTCCAGGCGGAGGCCGAGGGTCGAGTCGGCATGGCGGAGGGCGGGAGCCCCGAAGGGCGGGCCGGCCCGAGGGCCGCAGGTAACGTGAGCGGCGTGGGGTGGTGAGGAGCGGGGGCTGCGTCTCCGGGTCAGTCAGAATGACCCTCGGGCGTCCAGGGCCCGTGTCCTCCGTCCCCGCCGGCCAGGTCTGTGGAGCCGCACCCGGGGTCAGTTAGTGGACGTCAGGCATCGTGGGGCCCAGGGCGCGACCCCTACTCTCGGCCTCCCGTGGTCAGCCCTCTCGCAGGATTTTTTTCTTTCCAGAGTTAGTCTTGTAACTGCCACCCTGTTAGCCGATCCTAGTCAGTGACCACAGCCTTGACACGGAGCACGGATCCTCTTCCAGGTCTGAGCACACTGGTCAGGAAAGGTCCTCAGAGGTCGGCCCGCTGTAGGGCAGGCTCCTTTTCCTCATCCCTTCCTGCCAGTCAGCGCCTCGTAGCCACTGGACACCCCCTGTCCCCCTTGACGACCATGCTGTCCCCAGAGAGCCTGACAGTGACACAGCGCTTACAGCGGCGCTTGACCCACCTACCTGCAGAGAAAGACTGACACTCGCCACCTGCCCCAGCATCTCCACTTTGCGGTACTGCCACTGAGAAACCGAGAATTCCCAGGAGAGGAACTTCCTGGCGCGAAGTCCCACATGGAGTCTTTCTGAGACTGCCACGCGTGTGGTAGGGACCTTGTTGTGCCCATCTCTGGTCCTGGAGAGGCGCTTGTTTTGTTCAGGGAACTCTTTTAGGTGTCAAAATCTCAGAAGGCCACACAAATGACAAAGTCTTGTCCTCCCTCCTTCCATCAAGTCAACAGGCTTTATTTATTTATTTACTGTTGGCTTGGCTCACGAGGTTATCGGAGTGACCTGAAAAGGCTAGACAAAGCCTTTGCCACCCAGAACTTTGGTTGGCTTTGACTTTGATCTCAGGGATAGACAAGATCTCCGAGTGGACTGCTCTGTCATGCAGGAGTGTCGTGGGAGACACTCATGGGGTAGGTAAAAGACATCTATTCCTTAGTGTGGAGAAGGGTCCTGTAAAAGAATCTGGTTTTGGCCTTTCAGTACCTGTTTTGTTAGTGTGTCCAGCTCGGGGTGGAGAGACTGGTCTTGAATGCTGTCTCGGGGGTAGCTGTGTTGTCACAAACATGAAGTGGCCTTTGACTCTAGAATTGGGGGAATTTCTGAGGGTGCCCTGGCCCCGGGCTGGTAACCTTGAAGAGAGATGAGCAAAGAGAGGTCCAAAGACCTGATCAAGTCCTCTGGTGCCCACTTTTTTGACACATCTGTTTCTTCCCCAACTTTGGCTTTGGACTTGTATGTCCATCGGTAACTGCAGTGTACTTGTAGTGGAGGGCAATGATTGGAGGAGGACCTGGATGGAGCCTTAAAGAGCAGTTTCTGGGCTTGATGCCCATCTGTTGATCCGCTGCACATCAGGTTGTGGGATCCGAAGGAGCCACGTAGGTGTTTGTGAACCTTGTGCTGCCATTAGCCTTTTTGTCTTCCCCGTTCAGTGGACTTTCAGATCCTGGAGAGCAAGGATGCCCACCTACTCATCAGCACACTGTCCCTTTAGGAGAGTCTTGTATTTGGTAGGGACTCAAAGCACATTCTGTTTGAATATGAAAACAACATTTAGAAAAAGCCTGCTTGTGAAGGGTATGCTTTAGAATGACGCCTGGTCACTTGCTAGGACATCATCACAGGGTGGGAGACTTGTATCGCAGCAGTTAGAATTTGTGCTGTTTTTATAACACCTTTTGATGCAAGTTTTTATAAAACATCAGTCTCTTGGAGTTAAGTTTGGACTTTGATGTGAGCAGCGATGCAGATGTTTCCAATCAGGTGATTAATTGTACAAATACTCTCCATTGACTACCTTTCTCTCTCTGCTTTTGATGCCTGGTTTTGTGTTGTTATTATTTTGTTTTGTTTTTGTTCAGTTTGGTGAGAGTTTTGTTATCTAGTATGATAGAGTTTTTATTCCCACCCCATTATTTTGTTTGTTTGTTTTTTGTTTTTTAAGATAGGTTTCTTTGGCTTTCGTGGAACTCACTCTGTAGACCAGGCTGGCCTTGAACTCGCAGAGATCCACCTGCTTCTGCCTCCCAAATGCTAGGATTAAAAGGAATGTGCCACCACGGCCCGGCCCATTATTCTTACTAAAACAAAAAAACAATTCTCCCTTATGTATATCTACAAATAAATTTTGGAATATTTTTGGCATATCCAGTATCAAATTTCTGAAGAGACTGGCTGCATTTTATTTATGGGTAACCTTGAGAATTCTTTTATATTGAATCTTCTCATTCTAGTACATAATACGTATGGTTTTTCTATTTAGTCCTCTTTATTTTTTGTTATATAGGCTGTACTTGTATTTATGCATTTATTTTTTAGTTTTTTACTTAGTTATAATTTTTCTATTTCTGTTTGTGCGTGTGTGTGTGCACATGTATATGTGGAGGTCAGAGGTCAACATTTAGGGTTATCCACCTTATTTTTGAAACAAGGTTTCTCACTGCATATGGAGTTTTCAGATTTGGATTTAGCTAGACTGGCTGCCAGCCAGCCCAGAGATCCACAGCCCTAGGGATCTTCCTGTTTCTACCCCTGGTAGAACTATAGGCAGTGCAGCTGGTCTTGGCTTTTTATATGAGTGTTGGGGATCTGAGCTTAAGGGCTCGTGTTGGCATGGCAAGTACTACTAATTGAGACATCTTGAAGTGTAATTTTTATACAAAATGTTACTTTTGAGACTTTTCCTGTTTTTATTGCTACAACAAAATACCTGAGATAGGATAACTATAAAGAAAAGTGATTTATTTAGTTCAGTCTTAGAGGCTGAATTTCATGGTGCAGGTTCTGATGTAGGTACCTCGAGGCAGATACCAGTGAAGGAACTGTGATCTCCTGGCTAACCAGGAAGCCAGAGTCTAGGTGGGGCAGGTTTCATGTTCTTATAATTACCCTCTGATAAGACCTCTCCAGGATCCCAGGAGAAATTCTGCAGACCTGCAGGAAGACACTTTCCCACTGACCCTGTGGCCTCATGTGATGCCACACTGGTTAAAGGGCTGTGTTATCTTTCAGCACTCCCATACTGGGCAGGCCTCTAACACACGGACCTCTGTAGATGCAGTAGTATTCTGCTGAGGTTTTCCTTCTCTAGACACCTTTGTTGTTTCTCAGAGCAGCATGGTGGGAAACTCACCTACCTTCTGTATAGCAACTCTTGTTTGGCCCTTGGTTTTTAGTAATCAGCTGTCTTTGTAGTAAAGGAGATGGCTGCCATTCTCCTTTCAGATGCCCCATTTTAAAGATGGTCTTACATACTTGGGATAAATTAGAGTAATTACATGCTAGAATTTTTGTCGTAATATTTTCAATTTTAATTTGGCAGTGCTTTATGTAGGATCTTCTATGCTATAAAGTTCCTGTTGGCTCATTGTTCCATTGCTCCCCAGTCGATCACATGGACTAGGACTTTTTTTTTTCTTTTTAGAAAAAGAATTTTATCAGGCTTGGTGTCAGGGATGGCTAGTTTGATTAGGGAAACCCTACTGGTTTTCTGGGAATTTGAAAGTTCCTGTGTGGCTGGGCAGGAAGGAGCCTCTCTGCAGAAGGCGTCCTATTTGGTTGGCCTTGCTAGCGGTTTCCCACACTAATAGGAGCCCCTCTCTTCATGCAGGTCCTAATCTGAAGGAGTGGCTGAGAGAACAGTTCTGTGACCATCCACTAGAGCACTGTGAAGATACAAGGCTCCATGATGCAGCCTATGTAGGGGACCTCCAGACCCTCAGGAATCTACTGCAAGAGGAGAGCTACCGGAGGTGAGCATCCCTGCTGGGGCTGGTAGCAGGTATTGGCCTGTGGGTTTTCAGAAGACTGAAATTTGTGGTTTGGATTGCCGATTAAGACTGATGCTGCAGGAATGCCTTTTGATTTTAGTGGAGGGACAAAAGGAAGAATTATTGGTGGCCGGGTACTGTGGGCAGGTGTCCCTTTGTTCAAGGCTGGCTCTGTGATTGACCTTTGTGTTTTCTGGTAACTTGTCCTATCTAGGCATTAGTTTCCTCAGTGTTTTTCTTGAAGGCAATGTTAGAGATGTCAGTAGTGGCCTTGCCCCTCCAAGTCCCCTTTAAAATAAAAAAAAAGATGTTTTATTTAAAACAGGGTCTCACTATGTAGCCTTGGCTGGATCAGAATTTATTATGTATACCAGGATGGCCTCAAATTCACAGAGATCAGCCTGTCTCTGTCCTCTAAGTGCTAGGATTAAAGAAAGGTGTGCACCAACCACTATGCCTGACTATTTTATTCATTTAAATTATGTGTGTATGGGGGATGGGTGGGTATGTGCATGTAAATACAGGTGGCCACAGGGTCCTGAAGAGGGAGGTCATCCCTTGAAATTAGGTGATTGTGAGCCACCTGATGTGGGTGCTGGGAATCGAACTCAGGTCCTCTGAGAGTGTCACATGCCCTTAACCATTGAGCCATCTCTTCATCCTTTCTCCAATGGCTCTCTAGCCAGAGTAGTTCTTTTTCTACAACTACTTTATTGCCATTCCTTTGATGTTCTCGTTTTCACTTCTCAGGTCTGTAGTGATCAACCATAGGCCAGCTGATTTCCCACTATAGGGATGTGGTGGTGCCATCTCCTTTGTTTTCTTTTCCTGGCCTCCTGATTACAAAATCCTTCCAGTTACTGAGTCCTGGATCTTCTTTTAAAGCTGAGAGTCTTTCCCTGTCTCCCTGTGTAGGATGCTAGGAGAACACCCATCATTTTCTCTGGGGGCTCCTTGAGTACTTTGTCTGAATGATATTGAATACAAATGAAACTGGACTTCATACTTCTGTGTTTTTACTTTGCCTGGAGGAGTGGACGCAGTGGATTGATGGAAGTCTCTGTGGGAGACCTACACTACTGCCTTTGTGTAGACAATTCCCAAGTAAAGGATTCCTAACTAGCCAGGAGTGTGCTCCCTTCTTATCCTTCTGATGTCTTAGCATTATTTCATAGAGCACACGTCAGTATTTAAAAACCAAAACACAGGGCTGGGAGAGACGACTTAGCAGTTAAGAGCACTTGTTGCTCTCACAGAGGACCCAGTTTCAATTCTCAGCACTCACATGAGACATCCTCTTCTGACTTCTGCAGGCACCAAGCATGCATGTGGCACAAAAACATATTTACAGACAAAACATTCATATGTGAAATAAAATGAATAAATCTAATAAAACCAAGCACAAAATTTAAATTTATTTAATGTGGCTCAAGCCCCTGAAAGACTTAAGCATACAGATAGAGCAGTAGAATGAAAGAGTTCAGTGAAGTTCCTATTGTGCTCCCCTTCCCTCTTCCTGTCTCCTCTTCTCTCCTTGTCCTCTTCTCTCTCTTCCCTTTTTCTCCCCTTTCCCCTATTTCTTCCTTCCCATTTGGCCCTTATGTAGCTTAATAGCCTAGGCTGGCTTTGAGCTCCAGACCCTTCTACCTCTGCCTCCCCTTCCTGAGTTCTAGATTATTGTCCCATGCCACCACACTGGCTCCTTTCTTAAACTCAGGGTTCATGAATGTCCTTTTTCTTTAACATTTTCTTTTGCTGTCCATGTCTCTGGTGGTGAGTTCTGGAGGGTTCCTGGACTTTATTGACCCGTATCAGCCTATATATGACTGGAGGTGGAACACCAGGACTGGTTTAGAGAGACACTGCCTATGGGATGGTCCTTAGTTTCTGCTTCAGTGTGGAAGCTGAGGTTAAACACATCTTGGTTGCTGACCTGGAGGGTCAGTGGACAACATAGATACTTTTCTGGTGGTCATACTGTCTGAGAGCTGTGTCTGGACAGTTGGCTGCCACTGCTGGCCAAGAATGCTGCCTCCATAATCTTTTGATCTCCTAGACTCTCAGTTATTCTGGGTCAGGGTAGGAGGAGATAGATTACTACTATTATTGTCTTTATCTGGAGAGGATTCCAGCATTGGACCTTTATAGGTGGTCACTAGTAAGAGGGCGTGCATGGCCCTGCCTGTCCTGCCCTGTGTTTCTGATGGATCTATATAAGTATTGTAGAGGAATAGGCGTTGAAATGTAGGTTAAGTATCTAAGAACTAGAAATCTCAGTTTTAGTGCTGATTATTTTGCTGAAGCCCCTAGTTTCCTTGTCACTGGACCCCGAATGCCTATTTTCTCTGCTTAAGTTCAGCAGGGCAATTGTGGAAGCATTTCAGGACACAGAACACAAAGGGCTGGAAATGTAGCTCAGGGGTAGAGTGCTTGCATAATGTGTATAAGATCCTGGGTTTGATGCTTAGCACCATGAGACAGAAAACAGAACACAGGTTAAGGTATTCCAAAACTGAGGGGTTGGCATTGGCTACCTAAATAGCTGTCTTTCTTGGGAGCCTTTGCCAGTGTGAGAAGAGGGAGAACAGCTCTTTTGCCTGGGGTGACTCTCATAAGCTCCCTGTGTTCCCATATAGCCGCATCAATGAAAAGTCTGTCTGGTGCTGTGGCTGGCTCCCCTGTACACCACTGAGAATCGCAGCCACTGCAGGCCATGGGAACTGTGTGGACTTCCTCATACGCAAAGGAGCCGAGGTGGACCTAGTGGATGTCAAGGGACAGACTGCCCTGTATGTGGCTGTAGTGAATGGGCACCTGGAGAGCACTGAGATCCTTTTAGAAGCTGGTGCTGACCCCAACGGCAGCCGGCACCACCGCAGCACTCCTGTCTACCATGCCTCTCGCGTGGGTAGGGATGACATCCTGAAGGCTCTTATCAGGTCAGTACTGCCAGGTCTGTAGCCTTTCTTGTTTCTGTACTTGGTTTTTTTGTACTTTAAGAGTGTGCTAGTTAGAGGACTTGGAAGGACTGCTTCATTAGTGCCCTTCTTTGCTTTCTCACCCACTGATGCCTTATGCTTACTGTTATTTTTCTTAACTTTTTGAGTTGTGTGCTTATTTATTTTTAACAATGTAAACTTTCTTTTATTTCTTTATTTCTTTTTTTTTTGAAAGGTATGTCAAACAAAGTTTATTGACTTGTTTCTGACTGTTTAAGTCTTTCTTATGAAGTAGTTAAAAGCACAAAACTAGTATAAAACTGATCTTCTAGGTGTTTAATAATCATTCTTAGAGGATATTCTACTATCATTAGATGGACAAAATGGGGAACTATTTCTCTCATTTCTTTTTCTTTTTTATTTATTTCTTTATTCAGTGTTCTGTCTGCATGTATCCCTGCAGGCCAGAAGAGGGCACCAAATCTCATTACAGATGGTTGTGTGATGTGGGATTTCCCTATGTATGCTGTGATTACCTTTTAATGAATAAAGAACTGCTTTGAGCCTATAGAAGAGGGG